GCGATTTTCGAGGTACACTAAGCTAAAATTGGTTTCAGTTTCACCCGCAGTGTCACTTGCTTTGGCAGGGGCGAATCCAAGGAGAGCGAGGCGAGGGACTTTGCGGTCAAGTCCTTATCACAATTTGTGTGTATGCTATTTTGAAATTTCAAATTATTTCAGATCGCGAATTCCAGCAACGCTCCTTAACTCCTCATTTACACTTTTTGTACCTGTTTCATTGGACAGGTCAAAGTTAACTTTGGGATAAACGTATTTTTTCTGGCATGTTGCGAGTTTAAGGGACTTGGGGTCCTCGGTATCAGAATTAATGAAAATAATTCGCGCAGCCAGGACCATCCCGGTAAGCGATGTTCATGAGACGGTAGGTTGCGAAAATGAATCGCTAGTGGTGAGAGGCAGGCGCATATTAGAATCCTCCTAAAGGGTTTGCGTTGTGAAACATTTAGCTGCGATCTATATCTAAGAAATATTTAATTACATACTGGTGGGTGAGTGCGTTCACGGTTCACGAGACACGTCATGAAGAGGTTCATCGAGAGTGGCGACAGACGGGCGGGCGGCTAACTTTCTTGACACGACCCGGCTTCACAAGCGTTCACCGCACGTGCACACATCTCAGGTTTACCTTCATCAGGCGGTAAGCGCCTCGTCCAGGCCGCCACCGCGCTTTCTGTACACGAGGCTGACCTTGTCCTCCTTCTTTTCATCCAGGAGCGCTGCCAGAGGAGGGTTTTGCTGGTGGCGGGGGGAGGGGGGGGGGGGGGCGTCTCCCGTTAAGCTCACGTGTTTTACCTAAGCGCCATAGACGGCCCCTTCGGTTCTCTTATGATCTGTGGTCACTAAACTCTACCCTCAGACCTCTGCCTATCAGACTATGGCCGCATGCCGCGGGACACTTCCCCACTCCTTTTTTGGAGATGGTAACCTGTAAGCTGAGGTCGTCAGGATCTTCAAGGTGCAGGTTATCAAGGTGCGATGAACCCGCATACCGAAGTCGTTAGGTGCATGGCGCAAGATCCTCACTCAAAGGACGCCGGCGTTTGGTCTCCGCGGGATAATCTAAGGCGCATAATTCGACGTCCAGGTTACAAGACATGGAGTTCGGACGAGCGGTTTATTCATGCCTTTCGATGTGCTGTTTTAAAAATTGAAGTCTTGCGCAACTTTCGGTCGAGTACAGGCAAGGTCCTAGTGAAGTGTTCGGAAGTAGCGCAAAACCACTTTGAGATTATCTTTAGCAGAACCGGAACTTAGCTAGTGCAACGAAACGCATGTCAGCCTTGAGTAAGGCAGCGTAAGCCATCCTAGCGTAACATAACTTAGGCTAACGTTTCTTAACCCAATGCAACATAACGTAACGTAGCATAACCTAGCATAATGGAACGCGACATAAGCTCGCCGAAACCAGACTGGTCTGCGCTCTCTTACTGGTGCGTTCTGAGAAGCACGGGATATCCTTTTTGAAGGGGAATATTTCGTACTGTGACGTAATTGTCCGGACAGGACTGACCGTCAAAGCAAAGCGTCGTCAAAGCTTCGTCTTTTCCTTGATATTTAAATCCACAAGCCCTCCTCAGACCGTCACTCGTCCACTCCGGCCGGGGGTGCTGGTTGATTCGAGCCCATTTTACGGCCACCGGGCGGTGATTATTTACATATCATGATGAGGTAAGCTGGTCATAATAGTTGACCTTTTCTATGTCCTTGTCGCAGTGCAGCGACACCTCCCTCCCCCCCCCCCCCACCCCCACCCCCCGGCCGACGGGATTGGTTGCACCAGCAGTGACGAATCATCCGATTAATCGCTCGGAGAATGAGGGTCTGCTTTGGAGCTTACATCCTGGAAATGCACGCGTACTTTTGTAAAGCAAACGCCATCACCAATGAGCATTTCCGCACAAGCACTTGTGTATTTTCATCATGCATCTACATGCCAACTTTTACGCACTCTTTTTGTCAAATGAATGCTATCCCTAAATAATATTTGTGTTCAAACGTTGACGTGGAAACAATTGCATGCAGCCTTTTGATTAAGTTTTGTGACCACGAACATTTACGTTATGAACTTTTACTACGCAGTTTCACATACGACCTTCGTTTCTTAGAACTTTCTTTATTACGAAGCTTTTGACTGCTGGTATTTTATACGGTTACCTATTCTTTCCTGAACAGTCATCAAGCACGCGAATTTGATCTTCCAAACGACTGTCATACGACCTCATTCTTAGCATACTTTTGCCCACAACCCATTGCACAGATCACTCCCGGCACTGTCTTGAATGCAGAGGTGGGGCCACCTATACGCGGAGCCTGCGACAACTGTGGCATACGGTCTGCAGTTGGCTTTACCTTGGCAATTGGCGATTGGAAATTGGCCTTACGGTTGTCTGATTTTGGTGATGACGTCAGCCTGCGCCGCCTGCAGCGGCCAGTATCAAATGCTAGCACGGTCTTCGGCATTGGCCAATACTGGCGGCCATGAACATGAGTGTAAGTGAGTGGGAGGTGAGAGCAGGAATCTCCCGCAATCACCAAGCTTAGAGAGTTGAACGTTTGACACCGCATGAAAGTTGAAAAATGATGAAGACGGCATTGGGAACGGTAATTTCCTACACGGGACTTGTAAACACGTTACATTTTGTTTTATAGCTACACAATTTACCGTCGCAATCATCTTATTCTTAAGACCTATCTCATGAAGAATCTTGACTTCAGAAAGCGTACTGACACTAATAACTATAATAAAAATAACTGCAAAAATAATAGACAACTACAATCCGGGTGTCAGCACAAAAAGGCCAGGACATCATACAGGGTATTTTCGAAGAAACAAGCATTTTGAACGCTTGCCACTCAGAAATGCACACGCTTACATTGATGCACGCGCCGCTATTCTACAGAGAGCAGGCGGGATACCTGTCTCATCATGTGTCTTTATCGCGCCTTGCCTAGAAGCATATCAATGGCTCTTTATGTAAGAGCGCGTTTTCAAATGGGGTTTGATTTTACCAAGTGGCCGGAGTTCACAAGACATTTCGGGGTGGGGGGGGGGGGGGGGGGAGGGCCTTTGTGTGTCAGGCCCTACGGGCACGGGTCCTTAATGCAACCTACAGCCGGCACTTCGGGCACTTAGAACTCCCCAATCGGGCTCTCGTAGTCGGTCCCCAGGAGACTGGAGACTGTAGGGCCCCTGAACACCTAAGGGACACATGGACACCTGGACCCCTGTGCCCTCCGTGCGCCCTGCCTGCGCCCCTGCGTAATTGGCACAGGGACTCCATTTCAGTTTGTTGGGCCTCCGGCCGAAATGGGGCGGAGGGATCCCCGTGCCGTACTGGGGCCACTGGCTGACACAGGGCCGTTTCATTGTCCCATTGTGGATTATTTCATTGCAAGCCCTCATCTCTCAAATCATTTTCAGCGGGCCCCGCCCAACGCAGGAGGCCCTCTGACATTCGGGGGTCCCGCCACTGTCCCTCCTCAGCAACTAGTCTCCTTGCCAGCTCGGCGTCCCTCGCCAACACGGGACCCACTGTTAGGCACTGTGGACGTCTGACTGATCGCCACAGATAGCCCTCCACGCTCGCCGCGGGCGTAAAGGAAGCCGACGGAAAACCAGCATGCGTGCGGACGCCTACACGGCAGCAAGCACGCTCGGCCAGCCGCCAGGCATGGAGTGAAGATGAACTGGAGCAGTCGTATTCAGGGGCCTTCGTATTCGCGTGACTGGAACGCCATGGTTACACCTCAGGCGCGACGAATGCGCCACCAGGTGCGCCACCTTTGCCCCGTGGATGTGTTACACATTTGGGGGCCTTAACGTCGGCTTATCACGAGTAAACAAGGACGCGAGGACCATAATCTATTCATTCATTCATTTCAACACTTCTTAAAATATGTCCCGCAACTTGGCGGAAAACAAACAACACAAAACTTGAATACGACGCGCAAATAAAGAAACAAACTCTAGACTATCAACCACCATCAACCCATCACCATTAACCACACCACCGTGTGAAAAACGTCAAACAGCGGCTATCTCCCAACGCCCGCCGCGTAATGTTGCTGCGACGTCATGGCGACGAGAACATGGGCGAAGTGCTTCTTACCATGCACCGGGCGGAAACGCCAAGAAAAAACGTTCGCCGCCAAGCAGTTCATCGAAACGACGGGCGAAAAGGAACAAATCCTTCCGCGTATTCATAACCTTCACTACACAAAGCACGCGAGACCACCGAGCCCCTTCCACGGGAGGTTGTTTCACCCCGTTACGACGCGCACGAAAGACGCGCTCGTCCGGCCTTACACAGCCAACACGCTAGGCAACGCCCGGCGGCCCGAGCAAAACCAGCTGCCTTACCTCCACGGCCGCCGTTGGTACAGCTCCGTTCCAGGCATGGCCCAGCTTCGATCGACCTAACCTCTCGTGACGCATGCACCGTAGACAGCTCTCGCTTCCAATGTCTGCACGCCACGCTCCCAATGTGCATGCATTTCCGGCACGGTCTGCATATCTCGCCCGTCTCTACCAAGGCCGTACTTTCCCAGTGATATCACAATACGCCCCCTCTATCCACATATCCCTTTCCAAGCGTTCACCTATCACGCTACCAGTCTTCGCACGCTACCCTGACCCCACACCTCACACTACCCTGACCCCACACCTCACACTACCCTGACCCCACACCTCACACTACCATGACCCCACACCTCACACTACCCTGACCCCACACCTCACACTACCCTGACCCCACACCTCACACTACCCTGACCCCACACCTCACACTACCCTGACCCCACACCTCACACTACCCTGACCCCACACCGCACACTACCCTGACCCCACACCTCACACTACCCTGACCCCACACCTCACACTACCCTGACCCCCACACCTCACACTACCCTGACCCCACACCTCACACACACCACGCTGGCAGCATTTCCACATGACCCTCACAACACTCACTCACCACACTCCCGCAACTCTCCTGCCTCAACACTCTCATTCCTGTCACGCCACGACTCCCTGATCAGTCCACATCAGCCAGGGGCGCGTCGCCGCCGGGGGCCAGGCGACGCCAGGCTGACCCCGGCTCGGGGTCAGCGCCATCGGCCGGTGGCAGCCGCGGTCGCATGTGTCGGAACTTGTCGTACAGGTCCACCGGCGTCCGGCTCGGGTGGAACTCGTACACCAGCCGGATCGCCTGCGGCCGCGCATGCCAGGTCAGGTCAGGTCAGGTCAGATCAGGCCAGGCCAGACCAGGTGGAATAAGGTCGGCTCAATTCAAGTCGGGTCAGGCCAGGCCAAGTCGGGTCAGACCAAGTCCGACCGGGTCGGGGTCACCTTAGGGCGAGTCAGCGCATGGCAACTTAGAGCAGAAACACTGGGGCAGGTCAGGCAGGGTCAGGTCGAGTGCGTTAGCCGCGTTAGATAAAACAAGGTGATGTTGAGACGGGTATAGTTCGGATGGGCTTGGTCAAGTCATACAGGGAAGGGTTGAGACGGGGTTGGGCTCCGTGACCGGTTGCTTTCTGACACCAGTTTTGAATGACACGAGCAGCAACGACACTGGTGTCATTTTGTGAGCACGGCGGCATGATGTCATAGTGGAGGTAACTGGCCTCGAATACATCATGACCTACTGGCAAAAAAACAAGATTCCAACCAATCCTTACGAGATATGATGAGAATATCTGACATTGCAAAGCAGAGAAACGTTGAGTATTAAGTTGAGAATGTCACAGTTGCTTGCAATCTTCGATTTACCAATACCACGGGCACGCCGAAGGTCAGCTACTTTCAGCAGACCAACCAATGTGGAGAACCCCTTCCCCCTTGCGTCCAGTTGTTCTAAGTCCGCCTATTGCGGCGAACGGGCACTTACCGGTGCCGCTCTGTCGCCAACAAAGCTGCGGACAGCCGGTCGGCCTAAGGGCTGGGTTCGATTTCTAAGCGTGGTTACGGCGTTCAGTGCATTCACTTTCTCGTCGTGCGCATCTCTTCACGCTCTTAATTCCTTCCATGGGAAGACCATCTAACGTAAACCATAGCGGCCTGCCTAGGAGGCATGCCCTACAGTCCAATAGCATTAGTCAGTAGCCAACAGCCATACATTGCGCACCTGTCATACACATGCCTCCACGCCGCGCGGCAGGTCGCGCCAACAAAAAAACAGCGGCAACACGAACGTACCTTGAAATCCCTGCCATACTTCTGCACGCCCCGCAGCAGGTTGCGCACCTCCTGTTCCGAATATTCGACCCTTGGCCGCCGTGATCGACTCCGGCTGCTGACCACCGACCGCTGTCCAATCACACGGCGCCGTCAGCACGTGGAGTACCGGGGGATGCTGTCAGCCGAGCTGAGTGGGTCGAGTGCTTGAGTCACCAGGACAGGGCCAGGTGGGGCAGGTCGGAACGGGCAGGTCGGGTCATGCAATGGGTCATCACAAAAGATCCTACATCCACGACACTGCCGGTATTTGTGCTGTCCTGTTCTGTCATTATCCGAACATGACATCCCTATACTCATGCTAGGCATGTCTGCCAAACTCAATGTAGGTTGGATTCAAATTGAGGAAGACTCTTTTGCCCCTTTGTGGGGAGAGTTGGAAAAAATTGCAAAAAGATGGAGAATGCGGTCTACTTGGCGTCGATCTCCATGCACTTTCACCAACACTATTGCAAAGCAAAAACAAAAAACAAAAAACAAGCTAACACATCGTGGCTGCCCACGCCTTAATCCTTTCCGCTACCAAAGCGCACAGTAGCCACGCGGCTCAAAGCGAGAGCATCGGTGGAGAAGTCTAGGCTCCACTTACACCGCAAGGAACCTCCACCAACCAAGGTTCTTTGAGCGCGCCACATTACATACTACGAGGAATCAAATAGCATTACATGAGGCGACTCCATTCGCCAAAATCCTATGTCCGGATCTTCCGCCTTTCCATCATCACTCTTACCGCGACGCGCCGACCCGCGGCGGCGGCCGGCGCTGAACGCCGGCGCTCCTCCCACGCGTCCGCCACGCTCAGCGAGGAGTCCAGCCATCGCCTGACGCGCCGCTGCCGGTCGCCGGCGCCGCCCGGCGACGGCGACTCCGGCGGCGCCAGGTCCGTCAGCAGGCGGGGCGCGGGGCGTGGTGAGGCGTGCTGCCAGCTTTTGGTGACCGCTGGAGACTGAGGTACGGGCGCGGGGACGAGGGGCGGCTCTGACGTCTGCCCGCCGGTGGGTTGGTGGTTTGGCCCTTGGGGCTGGCGGTGTGGTGTCACGGTCTGCCACCTACCGGCGGCTGCCGGAGGTTGGAGTGCCGGGGACGGCGGTCGAGGCCTCCCGGAATGGTGTCGCCTGGAGGGTAGCGTAGCAGCCCCTTCTGGTTGTCGTTGACAAGATGCCTGAACAGAACTGGCCTGCCATCTGTCGGTGATTTCCAAAGGTCTTAGCGTCAGTCGGCAGCAGCGTTGCGTCTCGGTGGGGCGACCTTTACCTTCCTGGCCAACTACTGGGCTTACTCCCAGCACAGAACGAGGCGGCCTCTTAATCTGCGCCGTCTGCCATCTGTCGGTGTCCGGTGGAGGCATCAGTTCATGATGCGTGTCGCAAGTCACTTCATCGGCAGTAGCCTGGTGTCCAGCGGAACATGGCGATTGCGTTAGCGCCGCTCGGTGGCGGCGCGTTGCCGTGCTGATCACAGCCTGCCTCTTCTCTGTCTTGTTAGAACTAGCACTTGAAGATGCTTCGTTAGAACTTGCAACGAATCGGTTTGCTAGGAGCGAGGGCTTCGGCTCGGACGAGTGCCGGTGAGGCGTCTCAGCGGGTCCGTCTTGCGCCCTGTCTTCAGATGCGTGAGGCTCTAGTTGGGGTCTCCGAGCTGGATCTCTTTCGGCATCGCCGGCCGGCCGTCTCCTTCCGAGCCACAATGCCTTGCGGTTGAGCCGCCGCCGACGTGACGTCTCACTGGCCGCGGCGGCCGACGGCCACCTGTCGTCCACCGGTGAAACCTCAAGTCGGTGCTGCATCCGCTGCGCCGCCGCCACAGAATGCGACCGACATCTAGCGGCGGACGCAAGAGGCTTTCGTCGAGCGGGTCGCCGGGTGGGCCGCATGAACGCCGCGTCTCGCTGGCCCCGACGCGGCGTTTCGTAGATGGAAAAGGGTCGCGGCAGAGCGGCTCCCGCCCGACGAGGACTGGTGGCGGGAGTATGAGCCTCGGATGGACGTTTTCCGGCCTCTGCTCCCCTGTTCGGGCCAGCGTCCTCGCCTGAGTCCGCTGGCCGCAAGGCTGCCGAACGCGCAGCACCGCAGTGATCAACTCGACGTGATCAGCCTACGGCCGGAGGTACGTACATGCCACGTCACATTGCGTAGGCGTTTCAAGTCACAGAGGCGTCACAGTGCTTCTCGATGCTTGTCTACGTCAGACGTGTGCCAACCGAGGGCAGCACAACGGTGGCCCATCTCGAGAGCACATACAACGTGGCAATCTCATGCTCGCGCTCTATGCTGCGAACGCTTGGCGACCTAGACGACACAATAGCAATACAATATAACATAGTGCATGACAAACAATGCAATAGCAAGCATATGACCCAGGAGTGACACTTTCTAAAATTGGTTGGTGGGGGGGGGGGGGGGGGGGAAGCTCAGCCGAAAAGGTTGATCTAACCTACTCCCACAACCTGATTTCTCACGGATTTCGGTCACATGAATCTGCGTTCCCGGTGTTAAACCGAAAAAGAAACAAAAGCAAAACAATTTTTTTACATATTTCTTAGATTTAGAAGGTCTTTTCTGCTGGAGGAATAAATCCCCATTTCAACTGAACGTGAACTGCTTTTTTGTGAAAAGCTTAAAATGTGGTGCAATTCACAGAAATTATCTAAGTAAATCTTAGTGAGGGATCACTGATAACTGCCGACGCCGTTGACCGTGTAGTATAACCACCGCAACCACAAAACACTCGCCACTGTTCTGGAAAACATGTGCTAACTTTTGTCTCCGTCACATCAATAGTTAAGATAATTGATCTGTACCTATTTGGCCCAGTTTTCCTTCTTTGCTCATAGGCATTGAGGGGGGGGGGGGAGCTCAGAAGAGCATTGGGGGAGTACTCAGAACAGCATCGGGGGGGGGGGGGGAACTCAGACCTCCCGAAAATATACAAAGTGACGTCAATGACATCGCACCATACTCAAACCAGCACATGTATGTTGCAGAGGCATTCGTAACCCCATAGCGTCAACATTTTTTTTTTGCTGCCACTTTGAAACAAATACAGTCCCTGCCACAACAGAGGAGCCTCCACCCCTCCGCAATCTCGCCCCCCGCCCCTCCCCACCCCCACTCGCTCCCCGGCTGATGGCTCCCAGGACATCGAAACGAAGTCGTGACCCGAGGCGTGGGCAAAATCCGAACTTCTGCATCTGTAGGCCCCACGTCCGGGCCATTGGTCAGTGGTGCGGTTTTCATTACTCGTCCCTCCCAGTCTCGGATCTCTGGACCCCTGGTCCCAACGACACCTCACGGACCCTGCCCGTCTACGGTTTGCTCCTCACCAGAACACTCCGCCGCAGGCGCGTCGCTCCCGCCGTCGCTCTCGCGTCGCTCCGCACGTGACTCTGGCTCCGCGACGACTTTCCCTCCCGGGTCGGTTAGCATCAACTGCCGCGGGCTGAAGATCAGCTCCAGCCGGTCGGCGTACTCCAGCACGGCCCGTGGCACGCGCGCTTTGATCGCCACGAGCACCGACGCGCGGAAGGCAGGGTCGGCGCACGCGGCCTCGGGGTCAGAGGTCACGCGCCGGAGCGCGACTCTCGGCTGCGAGGGCGTCGGGGTCAGCCGAATGGACGGAAGAGCAGCCCTGGGGCGGGGCGTTGCCATGACGACATGGCTGGCGCCCGCCATCACGCGCTGGGCTAGAAAAGGGAGATGGTCAATGTTTGGGGAGCTCTTGCTATTTTGCTGACGAAGCAAGGTTGAGAAGAATCTGAGGACTGAATTCGTTCAGCGAAATCGCAATTAAAAGGGTTTCCGATGTGTACATTGCGCATAATGGAAGGAACGTGCGGAGAAGAAAACCTTTTCAACAATGGGCTATCGCGCCGGGGATTAGCTTCACAAAATGAGTTTGGGGGGGGATAGGTGGGGACTGAACAATGAAAAGGACCCAACCTACCCCAACACATGCCAACGAACAGGTTTCCCCTCAGAATTTGGTGCCCCTTCACAAGGTTGGGGGAACTGGATCGCGGTTGGGGGGGGGGGGGGGGGTAAAGCCCCCAACTGAATAGGAAACTACATCCCTGCTATCGCGGGCTCATGTTAATGCAATCATCGGTGACGTTCAGGGATGGTAGTGTTGCCCTATCCAAGGCAGCCCTCGCCTGACCGCCGTCACATATGGTCTGCGTTGAACAAGCAGACTGCCGGCGGCGATGGGCCAGCCACGTTACGTCGCTGATGGGGGAAACATCGCTGAGCTCTCGACAAGACACAGTCACTTGCGCTCGGCCTTCGCGCATCCCGCGGTGGCTGCGTGGGTCCTCCATCTGTATGGGCGCCGCAGCGGTCTGAATAAGACCACTAAATCCCACGTCACGGGCCCAAATATCAACTGCGCCGTAGCGTTATGCTACAGTACAGGGGTGCAAGACAACGCGGGCCACGCCCCCACTTCTTCTGCGTTGACCACACGCGGGCTGGCCGTCATAACGCACAGCCTGCATCAAGAGACATGAGCTGTGAGGGCGCTGCGCATCTTCGCGAATATCAGGCGTTAAATTTGAGCAGGGGCGTAGATTTACAAAATGAGTTTCGGGTCGGGGGGGGGGGGGGATAGTGAGAAATAACCCAGCCAACCCCCACGACATGCCAGCAAGTTTTCCCCAGATTCGGCTCATTTTCTTCCCAAAGTTTCAGCCCTTCCCGGGAGCTGGGGGGGGGGGGGGGCTTAAGCCCCTCTGAATAGGAAACTACACCTCTACTTCTTAGCTGATGCGTGGTGTGATACCCACGCCTGCTATTGCTACGGACGTAAGTACCACTAGGAGCACGATTAATGACGCGGAGGGGAGGGGGGCGGGGGCGGGGCGCATTGTTTCACCACAAATAGCTTGCGACAGAAAGGAAAAAATCGTTCGAAAATCGGCGCGTTCTCACCGAGCTCTCTCCTGAGCTTCCGGAAGAAATCCTGGCTGCGTTCCACTGAGCACCGCTGCTGGTTGTTGGTGTCCGAACTCCGCTCACGAGGACCTGTTGAACAGATAGCACTATTTTGTTTTGTTTTTTACTACACTTACTGACACCAAACCGAAATGTGACTCAGTGAAATCTGTCGCAAGCTTACGTTCATGACTATTGCCTGCCCGCGTGATTGAAGCAACCCCACTGTATGGCCTAGGTTCGAAAATGCATAACTATCGCTGGTCTTTTCCTGTTATTCAGTTTTGGCCTGCATTCAAGGTCCAGGTCACAAACCAACATGCAAGTACCGCAGACACCCACCTAATACGTGTATCACGACAGACCGCCCCGTTATCCCAAGGCACGTTATACACAATCAAATATCCCGCACCTAACAATGTTCGCTCAGCCTTTCTGTGCTTGTTTTTGCTTGCTAACGAAGCTCAAGAACTCTTACTCAAAAGCATGAATAAACACGCGTAAGAGACTATTGATTACAGATGAAGCATCTTGTGATAATTTTGAAATGTGTTGGAGTGAAAAGCACATATTTTTATCGTTGCTGAATATATCTTCAAACTTCTATCGGCAAGTTTATTTATTTTAATCTTGAGCGCGAAGGTTTCGAAAACTTGTCGACAAAACCAACGCACTTTGAAATCGTGAGACGCAAAATCAAAATAATAGAACACGGCACGACGCTACGGAATCGGCCGATACTGCCGAGCTAGTTCGCTGAAGTTCTTGCGTAAGTATGACACCGGATTGTATCGGCTGGAGCATTTTTGGAGATTTTTTCGTCCATTGCTGTATGCTTTTAGCAGGCTGACTTCGAGTTCGTTCACACGGTATGCAGAGCAGCCCATATTGCCTGTATTCAGGCCCACGGGGCTCTGCGTTCAGATATGCAAGGCCCTGAGAGCAACGGAGGCTTTTCATGTGCCGTTGACTCGGCATCAAGCTGTGGTAGATTTTTTGAAGTGTTGCTTCAGGTCCCAACCAACGGGCCCAATAATATTTGAATGCTTTCATCTTTCAGGTTCTTGAATGGTACTAAGTTCATGTATGTGGCATATCTAAGGTAACCATTTAGACATTTCACAATGATCCATAAAGCACTGTTTACAGATGTAGACATTTGCCTCATTAGCTAGAATAGGACTCAAGCTTAAGTCACACTTGACAATGATCCATCTAGTGCATTCATTGGCACAACACAACACCACATTAGAGAAAATGATTAAGCACTTGAATCATCATCTCACCATTGTACAAATTGTAAGTGTAGCACCATGCATTGGGTGCAAAAGGACATAGGAGCTCAAGTCATTGATTACTTCCATGTTTCGGAGCATCTTCTGTATTTGCCTGTCTTAGTCATTAGTTCCTATCATTTAAGCAATATCTCCTGGAACATTTAAGGTGAATCTGATAAGCATAATAACTAAACTCATGAAACAAATATCTGCCATAGGTGATCTCAAAATTCTTGGTAAAGGCATGTGGCCTGTAGTTTACTGTTCTTAATGCAAAGTGTTGTTGATGCAAAATAAAGGGTAGCTCCATTGCTGTATATAATATTTGTCTTTAGTTTTGCCAGTGCTGTTGATTTTGGGCTTGAGGCTGCTGCCAGTTATCCCAATAATTCCTGGGTCAGGATCAGCACTTCAACCCTCATGTATATGCATGGTAAAATCTATGTAGCAATTTATGGGCATGGTTTGTGCTTGAGGAAATACAGGACACACAAATATCTACACATATGAAATCTGCCAGGCTCAGATTTTTCCCTGTGATATCCTGGGGTATTTTGTGTCTATGTGTTTATAGCCAAATAGTGTTCAAAATCTCCACCTCACATATTGATCCTCCACTACTCACAGCTGACTTCATTCTCTGTCATCATACTTGATGAAAGCACCGCTATCCCTTTCCTCAGAACCGCTCTCAGCAGTTCACAGCAACTGTGCTGGACTTGTTTAGTAGAAGAGTGCATGTGAAATGTAACTGTTGCTTGTAGGTTGAACCCACTACCCAGGTAATATCATTTCAGCACAGCACAGTGCTCTGCCTCCAGCCTCCAGTATCACCACAATAAAGATCTTCTTAGTGCCAGGCTTATGCTGTCTGGCCACATGCCAGCTGATGCTATGCATGTAGTCTGAGTCAAGCCAAACAGCTAGCTTGTGGACTTGACATCAGGATGTCAGCAACAGAAGTTGGATGGCAGCCCTTCTGACCAAGGTCTGGCATGCTGTAACCCCCCTTTGCCTGGCTTACAGCAGTGTGACAGCTGTATTATTACAGCAGTATTTTGCACCACATAGAATCAGGCTGGCTGTCAAAACACCTGTTTCCCTTCCCTGCAGCCATCAGTGAAACCTCCAGGTGTTTAAAAATTCAGATGATGCTCCTTTTTTAAATTCAGATGATTTTCCTGATGCCAATCATGGGCTGAAGACAAAAAGCCATCAATTTCGTCCCTCTGCTACCATTTCCGAATCCATCACGCGCAGCTCGGACCGCCCTACACCACCACTAACACGTGCCACGCGACTCCACGCCGCGTGACCCCATGGTGACCGTGCGCCGTCCCTCCTCAGATGACCGCCGCCCGCTGAGCCCGTGGGACCGCCCGACACCACCACTAACACGTGCCACGCGACTCCGCGCCGCCGCGTCACGTGCGTGACCCCGTGATGACCGTGCGCCGTCCCTCCTCAGATGACCACCGCCCGCTGAGCCCGTGGGACCGCCCGACACCACCGCCATGCCGTCCGTCCGCAAGGCTCGCGGCGGGGCCCGCAGTGGGGCCCACGGCCCGACTCTGGCCGCCGGCGGACCCGTCTCGGCCACCGCAGCGATGCGACCCCGCAGCCGAGGTGGGTGGTCTGGAGCGGCCGGTTGAACCGCCCGCTCGTGGCTCGGTCAGCGACGCCAGCTGGTGATGCTGTGTTCGGTGGATTGCTGGCGATGCTTGTGTCGGATTGGATGCTGTGGGTTGTCGCACCGGTTGACAAAAGCGCCGTGTTCTGGGGAAAATCCGTAGAAAATCGTCACGTTATGGGGGGAAATACGGTGAAAATTCGCACTTTCTGGAGAGAAATTCATATGGAAAGGTCTGGGCTAGCCAGATGCCCCTTCATAGGAGCTTTTATCAATTAGATCCAGCCGACATGACCTAGGTCCCCAGCGTCCCTGAACCTGGCTACTGAATCCTCGGCCCACAACCGCGAGGACGTAGGTTCGAACCTCAGCCGTCTGCTATTGTTTATACCTCCGCTGCAATCGGTTTGAGTGGCTCCGACGGCACCGACCCGTGCCCCGTTAACACCGTCGCAAAACAACAGAACACAGACGTCACTGCGAACCTGTCACGGGGTCGCCTTGACCCCGCCGGTGTTGACCTGAAGTCACCAGCGCCCGACTGACAGCGACCTCTGCCGACAGGTGGCGCTCCGGCGGCCCAGCTGCTGGAGTTCCCGTGCACGCCGACGCCCGTGCCGCAGCGGGTGGCGCACCAGCAGCGGCGCAGCCAGGCCGGCTACAGGCCGCGCATCGTGGAGCTGGACCCCAGCACCGACCGCACCATACACCCCACACCGGCGGTCAGTACCCTAAGGGGCAGATGGTGTGCACCCCACACCGGCGATCAGTACCCTGAGGGGCAGATGGTGCGCACCCCACACCGGCGGTCAGTACCCCGAGGGGGGGGGGGGCAAGCGGTGTGCATCCCACACGGGGGTCAGCACCCCGAGGGACGGGGCAAATGGTGCGCACCCCACACCGGCGGTCAGTACCCCGAGGGGGGGGGGGGGCAAACGGTGTGCGCCCCACACCGACGGTCAGTACCCGAGGACAGATGATATACGCCATCTTACCAGCCAGTACCCGGGGGTGCATTATGCACCCCGCACCGGTGGTCATTACATGAGGTGCCCCGCATGTCGAACAGGCCGTCAGTACTGAGGGATTGTCGTGCATCTCACCGACACCTCACTGTGAACACTGACGGCCACGTAGCTGAGGTGGGCCAAATGTGTCGTTGGGGCTGTGGAAGGGCAACGTCACATCTCGATCAAGTCTTCAGATCCTTTGATCAGTGCCAGTATGCCTCTCAGTGAACCAGAACATCGCTCACTGTATATTGTACGTGCAAAGATCTCAAAAGCCAGGACCATAGGAAGTCATGAGAAGCTTTTGGCGACTGCAAGTTTCCCCTTGGAGGCAATGATGGCATGCTGTGAGAGCATCAACCTATCTCAGAAGACACCACCAAAGCTCTGCTAGGACGGCAGGGATGTGGTTTTGACTTTTCTTCTCCTGACCTTCCACACCAACCATAGAAGATGCTTAAAATGACCCCAGTAAAAGGTGCAGATCACAGGGGACTGGTACAGAGCAAACGGAACTGGAGTGAATGTAAAACACGGCTACCGCCTCGTGTTTTTCAACTCCCTGTAGCCCTCTTGCACATCCGTCACAAGACCCTCGGTTTATACCAACTCCGCCCTGTCGAAGGTGCTGAACACCAAGCGGCAGCGGTAGCTAATCGTGCGTCGTTCGATGAGAAGAAAGCGAGTGATGAAAGGCCGTTGGCCGTCTTCTCAGGGATCCCTCTTCTCCGCTTATGCAACTTATCACAGTACAGTGATTGCAACACTGAGCATTCGATCGACTGCTAAGTCATTCACGCTTTACAATTGGCATCGACCAGACGAAGACATCTCCCGCACCGAGCTCGAAATCAAGATGCTGGCGCCGCGTCCGATCGTGTCCGTGTATGATGTCACAGTCGTATGACGTCACTTGCAGATGCAGCCGTTTGACCGGCGCTCCAGCGTGCAGAGCCGGATATCGATGACGTCATCGGTGATGAGCTTCTCGCCCGGTCACGTGGTGACGAGCACGCGCCTCGAGACGCCAGGGCCAGGTGTGGTGCTACGCTGGTGCTGCGCTGGTGCCGCGCTGGTGCCGCGCTGGTGCTCTGGTGGTGCTGTACTGGTGCTGCGCTGGTGCTGCCCCCTTTGCTCGTCCTTTCCACTTGCTCCTCATGGTGGTGCCTGGCCGGAACATGGAGTGCTCAGAAAATGTCTTCTCACTTTCTTTTTAAGCGAGACCCCGATCGTGGTCAGGTGTGGGTCAAGTCTTCCTCGTGCTATATTCCTTCTCGCTAACCTTTTGTATTTCATACCGACGTTGGTGCCGCCGCACTCATGTCGCATCTGCTCGCAGTCGTCGCGATTATTACAATACGCTGTTCCAAAGCGATCGGCAGCGTGACATGCATCAGCAGACACCTCTGTCCAGGATCACTATCTTGGCGTCGCTTGGTTACAATGTATGTAGGAGGAAACCCCTCATTGTGGCATCCTCCGCCGCCTTGAAATGCTGACCTTTCCACGAGCTATCCACGCACGAAGTCCATGCTCTCCTCCAGTGCGGTAGCCTGGACGGTCCAGTGCCATGCAGGGCTTTGCGCACTGAGAGTGGACGATAACTTGACGGTCGTTTCAGCGGCGCGCGACCGACACGGCAGCGGTCCGTTCGCCCGGCCCCGGACGCCGAAGACACGCTCGATGGGACACGCCGCCAGCCCGGCCCCGCCGGCGACGGCGCGGCAGCAGCCGGCCGACGAGTGAGTGACCTGTGATGGCGGAGTGAGAGACCTGTGGTGACAGACGAGTGAGTGAGTGCGTGAGTGAGTGAGTGAGTGAGTGAGTGAGTGAGTGAGTGAGTGGAGTGAGTGAGTGAGTGAGTGAGTGAGTGAGTGAGTGAGTGAGTGAGTGAGTGAGTCAGTGAGTGAATGAATGAATGAATGAATGAATGAGTGATTGAGTGACCCGTGCGTGCGTGCGTGCGTGCGCGAGTAATCTACCGGTGGCATCGACGTCAGCTGGGGTCAGACAGCAGCAGGCGGAGGTCGGCTGGCTGATTGATCTTGACTTGTGTCTGCTTGTGTCAGACATATGGATACAAGGGTGAAGTAGTGTAGGAAGGACGCAGACGTCGGACCCGGTGGGTGATGCCTGCTCCGCTGCACGCCGCGCCTGCGACCGCGTGGATGGTTTTTGTCGCTCATTTGCCACTGGCGTCCTCTCGTTCCTACATGTTCCGCTTGGCGTGCGCTCCCCCCCCCCCCCCCCCCCCCCCCCCGTGTAGCCCGTGCATGCTCGATACAGCCGTCATCCCTCAACGTGCTCCGTCCATCAGACCATGCTCTCTGCGAGCGAGACCCGTCTATTCTACCGTTTCCCTGTAGCGTGGCGTATCCATGACGTCTGCCTCCCGTGTCGTTACCACGTCTATCACATTACCGTCTCCCGGCGTGCCGAGCGTCCGGCCGCAGGCGCCGTCGCCGCCGCCGTCTGACGTGACCTCGCCACCAGCGCTGCGCCGGCCTCGCCGGCCGCCGGCGCCTGGATAACCCCCGTGTCGCGGCGGCTGACCAGCTCGGCCTCCTCCGGCGGCGTCCGCTCGCCGTCCGCCTCGCCTGGTGAGAACGCGCGCGTCGCCAGGGAGGATTGGTGAGATAGATGGCAGATGCGGGAGGCGCGTGGGAGGATTGGTGGTAGGTGCTTGAGGGGATTGATGAGAGACATGGGAGGCGCCTGAGAGGGTTGATGAGAGTCGCGGGAGGCTGGTCGTAACGACACCTAGGTTGAAGTAACAGCAGTTACATGCCGGAATGGGAAGCAATTACTTCGAACTTCTATAAGCGGCACCAATGTTCGCAATATTGAGCCAACGTGCGCGCGATTTTGTTTCAGAGACGCCTCTGGTTCGCAAGACGAAGCAGCCAACGTCTGCAAAAAGCCGTGGCCGCCCGCCGCCTGCCGCCTCGGTCGCCCAGCATGGGACGTCCCAAAGCCAGAGTCGTGCGTCGGGCGGCGCCGCGGGCGCTCCAGCGCGCGGCACGTCGCGAAGCCGCAGCCGCGCGTCCTCTTCAGCTGGCCAGGACGGGAGCCGCTCCTCCCCAGCGTCGGCGATCCAAAGCCAGAGCGCCGCGTCAGGCACTCGGCTTGGGAAGGGGACTCGCGGCTCGCCGCCCGCCCGCGCTGTCCCGAAGTCGGCGGCGTCGCTGAAGAGGAGCCAGCGGCGTTCGGCAGGCCGTCCAGCTTCGTCGAGCCCGATCCGGAGGTCGGTGGCGACGGGTCGTTCCCGCAGTCCCCTCAAGCACCGCTCCGCCTCGACCAGGGGTACGCAAGGGCTCGCGGAAGACGGTGCTGAAGAGCATGCTGACAGTGATGCTGAAGAACAGGAGGTGGATGTCACAGGGTGGTTTGACGGGAACGTTGACGAGAATGCAAATGCTCCCAAGGCTGGCCACGCCTCCGCTGATCGCGCGCTGACTGTCATTGGCACCGATGATGACGACGAAGATGACCCCGTGGAGGACGAAGAAGCCGCCGCCGCCGCTGAGGGCAACAACGACGACGGTGCGGGCGGCGACGTCGCCGACCAAGACGCCGCCGCCGATGACGATGAAGACGATGGCGCGGACGACGTGGACGTAGACGACAACGATAAGCCGGTCAGCTCTGAGCACTTCAGTCGCCGTGTTTCGCGGCCCGGTTCGTGGGCCTCCTCTGGCCCGAGGGTGAACAGGGTCGGAGCGAGCCGATCCGCCACTCGGGTTTCTCCGGCATCGAGAGACGGGTCTTTCCGCGCGTCGGACCGGCACGCATCCAGGGGTGGCCGACCTTCGGCTGCGTCTGGCGGTGGAGCGTCCAGGGGTGGACGACCCGTCACCTCGCCCAGCCAGCGGGCGTCCAGGGTTGGACGGCCCTCCACCTCGTCCAGCCAGCGGGCGTCCAGGGGTGGCCGACCTTCGGCTGCGTCTGGCGGTCAAGCGTCCAGGGGTGAACAGCCCTCCACCTCGCCCAGCCAGCGGGTGTCCAGGGGTGGACGACCATCCACCTCGTCCAGCCAGCGGGTGTCCAGGGGTGGCCGGCCATCTTCCGGTCGTGCCGCAGCCAGACTCACGGTGTCTGGCGCGTCTCAACCAAGCCCCGGCAGCGCGCGACGGACCAGCAAGCGAGCGGTGAGTGGTCAGGAGTGAATGGGCGGTGGGGGGCCTGGGTTCGAATCCCGGTTGCACTATGATCCCTCAGCGCCGATATGCCCAATGTAGTCGCTAGCGCTCCATAAAAGTGGATGGACAACGTGTATCGCGGTCCCCTTCTTCTGTTCAGAAGTGCAGTGACAAGGATGAAGGGCGGGCGAGTACGTGTGTGCGCAGGTGTGGACGGGAAAGAGCGTAGTGCTCGTAGCACATTGAAGTCCCAATTTCATGCCTGCATAAAACAGGGGGGGGGGGGGGGCTACTGCCGTCATGCCATCCTTAGATCATGCGTGCAGGGTGTGCAGGGGATTAGTCCTGTTGACACCTTGTTCATCTGTGTGTAGGGGAGTCGTCATAAAATATGTAATCACGAAAATGCATGAACACCCATGCATAAATATCGTCATAACAGCTGTGTCCATTCCGCCCACGTGCTTCGCACTGTCTGACACCTCCCCGAACCGCAGCCTGGATCCGCCTCTGCCGGCCGTCGGGCGGCCGAGCGGCCCGACGGCGACGCGGAGCGGGTGCGGGGCAGGCGCGGCGCCAGGCACGCAGGTAAGGAGGGCCAGCGGCGGACGAGCCGCGCGGCCGCCGCTCGCCTGAAGGCGTCAGTGACTGACCCACGTCGGTCAGTAATGGTGCCCTTGTGGTTAGGTCACCAGCGTGGCCTGCGCGTAGTTTTATGGTAATGTGACATCGATTGCACTGGCTGGCCAACTGCACCCGTGCGACGGACAGTCGGCAAGCCAGTGCCATTGTCAAGCCGTCGACAAGATCCTGGTTATTTATTGACCCAGGATCTCGTCGACATGGCTTACTGACACTGCCCCATTCTTCTTTTAATACCGAGGGTGACGTTTTTGGCTTTTAAGTATGTATTGTGCTGCAAACATTCCGTGCCTGGTGTTCATCTCGCCATGGCCCATCTCGCCATGGCCCATCTCGCCATGGCCAAACATCTCGCCATGGCCCGAGCTAATCTTTATGATTTATGATGCCTGTGATGAGTCTCAAACTTCGCGCGATATGCTTAACGGGTTGATCAGCTGCTGTCAGCGATATATGACCGCCGGCTGTGTATCTGACATTCCCCATGCTTGTGCCGTGCCTCTGGCCCCAGCTCCACAGCGCACCTGCGTCCACCCGTGCGCGCTGATCCCGTCCCGTGACCTTGACCCCTGCGCCCCATGCCCGGCAGGCGGTGGACGGCCGGCGGCGGCGGCGGGCGCGCGCCCTCACTCCCCCGTGCGGTGCTCGCTGCGTGTGAGCGTGGCAGGCCGCGTCCGTACCATTGCCCTCGACAATGAGGACGACGTGCTGGAGACGGCCACGGTAACGGACGTGCCGCGCCGGCGCGGCGGGGGGGGGGGGGGGGGGGGGGGGCGCTTTTGTGCTAGCGGGTGGGCCCGTCCCTGATCCTGTCCCCGGCTCCGGCACCACCCCCTGCGCGGAGTTTCATTTTGATGTTAGGCATGTGGTGATACGTGGAGAGAATGAGTTCGAAAAGGTCTAAGTGTTTGCCGCCCCCCCCCCCCGCCAGTTGTTTTTGTGAGTCGCTGCCCCTGACGCCGAGCGAGAATGTGAATTCAAGTCTGACTGCCTGCTGTTTTTGTGACTTCCACGTCACGGTGGACGTGTGAGGAACGTGACGTGGCGCTAGGCGGCGTAACTGTCGTATACTGTCACAGCCCCATGCTGCCGTAATAGCGGACAGGTCTCGCACCCTGGCGCCCAATTTAAGATGTAGCCGCGGCCGTCATGACGTGACCGGCGAATCGAAATCGCCACTGCTTTTGCATGCTACGGGTCATTCAGTGGCGCAAAGTCGGTTTACGTGACTTTGCGACGAACGCATCTCCGTACCCAACAGCTGGTGCGTCAGCGACTGTTCTAGGTCGGTCTGCCGCCTCCCGCAGGATCTGGTGGAGGCGGGCAAGCGGAAGCCGCTGCTGTACTACCGCGATCTCGACAAGTTCTGCTTTGACGTGGACCAGTGTGTGATCGACTTGGTGAGTCCTGGCGCGGAATGGCGTGTGGTGCTAGCAGAGGCGAGTTAGGTGTGGCACCTACGATCTGAAACAGTCGCACGCAGAAAGAATACAGGGATCGTTGTTTTTTTTCGTGGTATGATTTACCTGCTGTCATTCATGCTCAGTGAAAATTCGTAGTGAGGCCTTTATCGAGGTGACTTAGTGAGGTCTTTTAACGAAACCACCCACTGTTGTAGGTCCTGATCAGGTCCGGAGTCAATTTATTATTTTGCTTGGCCTCCCAATGTCTTTATCCTTTACCAAATGCCTTTACCGAGGTTGACTGACAGTCTTGTCGCCCGTTCGCCACTCACGTTGCGAGATCTCTTGTTTGTGGGAGCGTTACGCCTAGTATTCACAATGCTCGTGACTGGCAGCATTTTTCGACAGCCGTCACGCGCTCTCTTTACCTGACCCGACCTTTCCTGACCTGACCTTTCCTGACCTGACCTGACCTGACTCAGATGAAGCTGGTCAAGTCGGGTCGGCCGGGCGCCACAAGGGTGGTGCGCTTAGTGAAGGCGGTCCGAACGGCGCTGGACCAGCAGCTCCTCAAACCCAAGGTTGGTACCGGGGGCTGGGTGACAAACGGCGGTCGTGTCCACGCGCTGCAGTCTCCGTTTGGGGCCGCAGGCGACCGACACGGCCCGCGGGGGCGGGGGTGGGGTCGGCTGCGCGGCGGTGGGAGGCGGCAGAGGGCAGGGGGAGGGGCAGCGACGCGTGATATGGCTCCGGCAGTGTTCAGCTGCGGTGCTGCACGCTAAGGTACTTAGAGGGAGTGTCCCACTTTTGGGGGGAATATTTTAAAAGCATGCTGTAGTGAAACCTCAGGACTGGTTACGTCTGATGATGACGCTGGGTATGGCCACTGCAGCGCCGTTGAGGCATAATAAGGGTTGCAATTTTAATTATTTTTGAGTCCAAATTACGCTGTCAACGCTTTGTGATAGCCCCACACTTCTTCCCTGCAGTCGCTCCCAGTGTCCTCATGACAACAGCGGTGTGTACCTGTGTTGGTGCGAATAAAGGAACGTTTGGGATTGGCTCAGCGGGCAAGGGCCTGTTACCGAGGAGCACATTGGTTGAAATTTGAACCAGCGCGTCACGTGAATCATGCGATACTGCGCCTCAAAAAGAGCCACCGTGGCTAACGTCATAGGAAAGAAAGCGAAGCCATGGGATAACGTTTCGTCGAATTTGCGAGATAACAGCTCCATTTTCGCATAGCTTTTCGTCTAAACAGTGCTTTAAGCTTTATTAGCATTCATTAAACAAGCACTGTGACACAGTGTGTTGCAAACGTTACAGATTACACACATTGGAAAAACCTCGGTGGATAGCCGAGTGGTTAGTGCTTTGGACACACACATGGGGGATCGCGTTCAAATTCCGGTCGCGCCATAGCCTAAAATGCTATTATGGCTAATGCAGTTGCCAGTGCTTCATAAAAAGAACGCGACCACATACATCGCGTTCCCTTAAAAAAAAACAAACATGGTCTTGCTCCTCTCATGCCAAACGGTCGCCTCTCCCCAAAATGCGTACCACCGATGAAGTCATGCTTGTCGCAACTGGCGCTTTGTTCCTCGCGAAGGATGCCTTCTTTGTATGGCGTGCGTGACGTAACATTTGACTTGAGACGCAGCGTAGTGCCCTCCTGTTTCGTCATGGCAACGCAACCTTCGATTCGCCATCCCGAAACGGGACGGAGCGGAATGGAAGAAGCCCAATAGCTTGATATCAGTTGTCTCGCAGCTTGCGACAGCTGCATAATGCTGTGTGTAGATGAGTTTTAATGACGTGTCTGGATGACGCATGAAAACCAAGCCAAACTGCAGTCCCTGTGCTGTAAGCGTCCATAAACTTTGGCTTTGTCCTTCAAAATGTTTGTGACTCGTGAGACATGCCTTTTATATATATATATATATATATATATATATATATATATATATATATATACATAGTGGGACATGCATTACATATTGCGTGCAATGGGTAGCGTCGGCTTCTCCACACTTGTCAAGCTGTTGCTCAGTAGGAGATGGGTATGCGATTTAAACGTTGCGAAACAGCCCTTTTCCCCACCTGATATGCATCATGGGTTCGACAGCAGGATTATTTCACCTGCGCCGGGGCGGTGGCCGCAGAAGGACGCGGGCCGCGAAGTTGTAGCGCAAGGTCAAAGATAGCCGTCGGTCGGATCGTATGACGAGGCCGACAGGTTCTTAACCTGGCAGATAAGGTCTGGGTCTGGCCGGTGGGGTCCGGCAGATGGGGTCTGGGTGTGACCGGTAGGATCTGGCAGATGGGGTCTGGGTCTGGAGGATGTGGTCTGGGTCTGTCTGAATGGGCTGTGGCAGAGGGCATCTGGGTCTATCCGACGGGGTCTTGACCGATAGGGTTTTGATCTGACTGGTAGGGCTTGGCAGGTATGGTCTGAATCTGGCCGAATGGGATCTGGCGGATGACATCTGGGTCTGGATGTAGGCATGGCGGATGTGGCCTGGGTCTGGTCTGGCCAGCGGTCCCTGCCTAACATGCGATCTAAAAGCTGCATGTCTAAGGATGCATGATTTAAAGCATATCCTGTATTAAACTCACGTAAAGGTGCATTTGTGTGCTCGCACGCTGGTTCCATTGAACAACGTGTGACCGTTCACAGCTGGAGGCACACGCGGCGTACTCCCAGGCGGCGGAGGAGCTGAGGAGAGCGGAGGACGAACAGGTGCTCAGTGATTGGCTGAAACAGTCACTCCGTGCCGACTCCTCGGAGGATGAGGAATGAACGGTCGGAGGACGGTCCGCGTAGAGAACTTGCTGCAGTCTGCCGGAGAGGGGCGTTTGTCGTCGAGATTTGAACTGGAGGTGTCATGGCATACGCGCTGCCATCTGTGAATAGGAAGTTCGGTACACTGCCATCGAATACACTGGCGAAGTTGGCTTTGTAATTCCAGACTGTTTGCGGGCTTAAATATTTCAAAATGACCTTTTGGGGTCATGGAAATCTCGGGGCATACGATCTTAAGCTGACTGAAGATTCACACCGAAACATTGCCCGTGGATACGAGGAACTTCGGAACGGAGACCTTCGTGTTCTAAAATGAGGCCAGCGTCCGCCAAAAAATGGGAGTGGCTAGCCCATGCACATGGAAGTCATGTATGTCCCTAGGGATTCGAGTTTAATGGGTTACTTGCTAGTCCTTAACACAAATGTTCGCTTTGGAAATCGTCTCGACCGATGAACGATCATCAAGCTCATATTTTACACGAGAGAAAGTTCAAAGTGTAGACATTTGAGAACACATGAAGGAGCCCTAAGGTACAGGCCACAGAGTCTCAGAGTCACTCTTTGGCTCATCCCGAGAACCTGCCCGGAAATGTCAAAGTGCGGAGTGCCCCGGGGTCCCGTTCCCCAGGGTCCCGTTCCCCGGGGTCCTGTTTCCCGCGTCTCACATCGTGTTAGGCCTGGGATGGGGCGTTTGCTTCTTTACGCATGCGTATAACTCGGCTGCGACACCTGGGATGCCGTTACGGTTGTCTTCGCCATCTAGCGGCCAGTCTCGGTTCCAGTGCCGGCGTAGCCGGCAGCCCGGGTGGCCGCTGCCTGGCGGCAAGCTTCCGAACTAATCACCCCTTGCGTCGGGTGCAACCGAACCCGCGGCGTACACGAAGAACGGCGCTCGCGCTCCTCCCCACTTCTGCGCACAATGACGACCGCAAGCGGCAAGCGAGGCCTGCACCGCGGCGGGTGAAGTATTTTACACGAACGGTGCTCAGGATAAGGGCTGATATATTATTTTTCCTTGAACAGAAACCAAATATTTTGAGTTTGAAATTTTGTGCAAGCAGATCAGTGTTTCACGTTGAGTTTTTGGGCGGTAATTAATAGTGTAAGCACTTTGAATGGGTATCGGTATGTGTTGCGAGGGCACGTTTACTTCTTGGGTACCGTTGCAAGACATGCCTGAAAAGGGAAGAAACGTGGCCATAAAGTGCCACTAAGGTAGTTCCCCATCACGGGAGCAATCATGTTCGTACTTGTGTAAACTCTGGAAGACGAAAATCTACGGCAAGAGTGATTGAGATCAATTGTTTAAATGGAGTTATCGTGACTGAAAAGGTCGTGTGTACTCAACACAATAGAAGAATGTTGCATTTTGAACCATCTCACAACGGTACAAAAGCGCCTGGAATGTGGGGTCAAGAGAAGCTTTCCGAAAGCATGGATGCTATGATGCGTGTTATGTGGCACGCTCGGCCTTAAACAACCTTGACTGCGCTGCCTGGCGGAAAGGCCTGGATAGCCAGGCGGAATGCCAGTCGACCGTAACGGGTGGGTGAGGACGATCGCAACGCAAAGCACAAGACAACTCTTGCAATGGGAAGGACTAAGGTCTGCTGCTCATTTTGTGGAAGATTCCGATATTTTCACTAATCTGGCAGCAATGTGGAAGCATCATTTCGTGTATCAATGCGTCACTTGGTACGCACGGAAGTCATAAGAATGTTCCGTCAGCCGCCACGAGGCTTAGGTTACTAGCGTGTTCGTGTCAGCCGGTGTCGGTCGTGGCGTTCTGGGCGGTGCGGGGGGCGCAGACGTGCAGGACTGGTACGTAAAGGCTGTCCTGTTGAAAACTACTGAACATTTTTGAATGACTGGTGATGTAGATGCGTAAGGCTCCGTAAGCATTTGAAAGATCTTGGTGGGGGCTGGGGCTGGGCGGACAGTTTTACTATATTAAATTTAGGGATGGGCCGAGTTGGTAGAAATGGCTACACTTACTAGCAAACATGCCAAAATTGGGTTTTAGTCCTGGTTTGAGCCATTTTCCTTCTAGTTGGGGTACTGGACTGGAGCTTCCTAACTGAATATGGAACTCTACCACTGTGTTGTAATCATGTAATCAAGACAGGTGCCAGTGTAATCTACCCTTTTTGATTTTCATGGATTATTTTTTATGAGCACTTGCAGCAAACAATCTTCAAAAATTTGGCTTTGGTGTCAGGGATGGTATGTATATGTGCTGATTTTTTTTTAGAAGTCATGGTAACCTTTACTTTGATATCATAGTCCTCTTATGGGTTTAGAAAACGTGAACTCACCATACTCTTGCATAAATATGAACTAACGTGTGTGGTTTGCAACATATATGTCATGCTCATGTAAGTGTCAAGTAACTAATAGCAAGAGGGCAATCTGGATTAATAACATTCACATAAGCACACACCCTTCGGTGGTTGCAATTATGCACACAGTCACATGCCTTTCTTGCTGCACTATTTTGCTGTCATGTGAAATATTACAATAACATGCTCTCAATTCTTGTTACAAATATTGCCAATGTTACCTGTTGTAATATGTCATGCCCATTATAGGTGGGTTCCAGCAGAGGGCATATTATCAACCTTGGAGAGCTATTCAAGCCTGTAGAGCACCATTCTTTGCTGTAGAGCAGGTCCATTATTATCTTTGAAGAGCCCATTCTAACCTCACTAGGGCTCATTCTGACTTGTAGAGGTCCTATTTGGACCTGTAAAGGGCCATTCTAATCTGTAAAGGGCCCACTACTGACCATAAATGGTGCCTTTAGGCTTGTAGGGGCTCACTATCTAATATTAGGGGAGCCCTTTTGATATTTTGTGCTTTGCCTGCGCCAACTTAAACAAAGTTTCATTACCTCTGCTTGTAGATTAAGTGAGCTACTGGTTGAAATCTATAATTTGGTTACAATTGACATTAGCGCAGAAGTCGACAAAGTTAAGTGCTTCCATCCATGAATCTAACACATAGGATGTTTAGAGGGTCTGTCATGTCTGCCAAACATGCATGCCGAATGCATGAGGCCATATGTTTGTTGTTTGTTTGTTGTTTTTCATAGGGCTTTGTGTTCCAGGCTTCAGTACAGAAATTCTGGACAGCTGCAGTAGTTACAAGAATTTATAGCATCAGGCTCCCCTGAAGACCTTGGTGCTTCCACTTCTTCTGCAGCACCATGGGCTTCTCCCAGATCATGGTGATATTTCTTCTACAGTATCTGATCGCCACTGTTGCTCCTGCTAGTGTCCCTTCCCATGAGCCTTATCCATCCCCAGACTTCATAAAGGCCATGAGACCAGAGACAGTCCCACATACCACCACAGAAACCACGACCAATTCCGACCCGCACGTTCTGGTGAAAGCGGCCGCACCAACAGTGCTGCCACCTAACGCCCGAGAGCTGGAGTTCAACTTCGCGGCCGCGCCGGGAGGCGGCGTGACCGTCACGGTGACCGCGCCGCCGTCGCTGCTCGCGGATTGCCCGCTGCTGGAAATGCGTTCCCTGGAAGACCAGGCCACATCGCGCCGTCTGCCCCGCTCCCGCTCCCGCTCCACGCTCTTCCCGCTGATGCCCAGCGGCGACTACTCCGCGCGGCTCATCTGCGACTGCGTCACGGACGCCGTGCCCCGCGACGCCTCGCGGCTCGACTGCGCCGTCAGTTGGCGGTCGGCGCCGGCCGGCGGCTCGAAGTTCGTCGCCGTGCACGGTGTCGACATGGAGGCCTGGCAGGTGTCGATCGGCCACAGCCAGCTGCCGTCGGGCCCGGCTGGCCCGGCGCTGGCCGTGAGCGTGGTGCAAGCACGGCGTGCGTTTCGAGCGGCTGCGCGTGTGGCACGATGGCTGCACGGACGGCTCTCTGGCAGACGGTTGGCTGAAGCTGGAGGCCGCCGAGACGCTGCAGCTCGACGCCAACTGCACGCTGCGCTACGACAGTCCGATCCAGCTGGAGGTCAGTAGAGGTCTGCTGAAGGCCTGTCAGAGGTCAACTGAGGTCAGTCAGAGGCCAGGCAGCCGTTGAGCGGGAGGTCAGCTGGAGGTCAGTAGGTCAGCTGAAGCTCATCAGGGATCAAGCAGGAGGTCAGCTGGAGGTCAGTCAGAGGTCCATCAGAAGTCGTTTGGGAGGTCTATGGAGGTCCGTCGGGGGTCGAGTAGTAGGTCAGTGAAGGTCAGCTGGAAGGCAGCCTCAGGTCTAGTGGGAGGGCAGTGACGGTCAGCTTGAGGGCAGTCGGTGGTCGAGTGGGAGGTCAGCGAAGGGGAGGTTGGAGGTCGAGCGAATGGACAGTGAAGGTCAGCTAGAAATCAATCAGAGGTCCGTCAGCGGTCGAGTGGGAGGTCAGTGGAGGCCAGCTGGAGGTTAGTCGTAGGTTGAATGGGTGGGCAGTGAAGGTCAGCTGAAGTTCAATCAGAGGTCCGTCAGAGGTCGAGTGGGAGGTCAGTGGAGGTCAGTCAGAGGTGTGTCAGAAGTCGAGTGGAGGTCAGCTGGAGGGCATGGGAACCTGGCGGTCTTTCTCTGCCTCGGCTTGGGTTTGCCCGCATTGCCTCTTCCTACTTATGCTTTATTTCCCCTGTTATGTTGTTGTTACTTAGTTGTGTACTTCGTCTGGCGTTAGGCGTTATTTTGCATTGCTTTCAGGCTGCAAGCTTCTACATAAATCATTTTAGCTAGGATACTGCCGTACAGAAGGCGCGCAGTGTTCCGACTCATGGTGGTCTAAAGTAATCCTACGGATGTGGTGAGCCGCTAGTGCCGGCTGCCTGGGCGCAGGCTCCAGTCCGCGGAAGCCGCAGTGACCCGACTGTGGGCTGGCCGCAGGTGGAGCCGGACGTCTGGTTCTGCTGGGAGAGCACGGGAGCCTGTCGATCGGAGATCTACACGATTCCCGCCCTGCAGAGGCTGACGTTGACAACCGGGGCGGAGGCCGCCCACCTCCGCCCCGATGGCCGCCGGTCGCTCTTCCTCCCTGTCGGCCTGCCGCTGATCGCCGTCGCCTTCGTCGCCGCCGGCGTCGTCGTCGTCACGCGCGTACACCGACGACAGCGGCGCGACGTGGACGTGGCGCTCGCCGCCGCCGGACGCGACAACACCGCTTTCGCCAGCCATCGACAGCGAGCCGCCGCAGGCGCAGAGCGTGCTGCTGCTGCACCTGGCGCGCGGGGAGGCCGAGGCGGCAACTGTGCGGACGCTGGGGAAGGCGCTGCGCGCGCGCGGCGCCACCGTGACGGACGGCGCGGCGCCGGCGCGCCGCCGCCGCCAGCGCCGCGACGCCGGCGCGGCGCTGGCCGACATCGTCGCGCACGAGCGCGTGCTGGTACTGGCGTCGTCGTCGGCGGCGGCGGCGCTGGCGGGCGGCGCGCAGGGGGAGGCGGCGCGCGCCTTCGTGACGGAAGTGCGCTGTCTGACGGCCAGCCGGTGGGCGGCGGAGTACGGGCGCGTGTACCAGGCCCGGCTGGGCGCTGACGCGCCGGCGCTGGCCGGTCTCGTGCCCGGGGTGGTGTACACACTGCCGGAGCACATGACGGAGCTGGTGGAGGCGCTGGCGAGAAGCACACCGCCGCCGCCGGGAGATGGCAAGGCTGAGAGCCGCGGAGGGGATGTGTAGTCTTCTAACGACAGTGGTCTCTCCGGGGGGGGGGGGGGGGGGGGGGGAGGGTAGGTGGGGAACGCCAGAAGCCAAACTGGGGCTGTGGTTTACGGTCATGGAAGGAATGTTCTTGGCGGAGTCACAATCAAAGTGGTGGTCCGTTTGCTCAGAATGTCTCGCGGGAGATTCAATCACAAGTTGTTTTTTCGGCGCGTTGGGAGTAGTAGCGGATAGGAGTTGTTTCATATGACGTTTTGTACGGCCTTTTTGCCTATGTGAAATGTCATGTCGTGATGCCGTGTACCCGCGCCGGGCCCGTCACATTCCAGCGAAAGGCGTCAGAACATTATCCAAGTATTACCAGACTGCAGGTATTTGTTGTGATCTTGCCTCGCAATTGTCACGCGAGAAACGTACCTGGAGGAACAGATCGCTCTAGTCCTTTTACGCCGTCACCCAACAACGGACAGCCAAGGAGCGCTTTACTGTTAACACCACTGGGACCCGTACCGTGTTGTCGTGGCTTGACCACCCTGCCACGCCAGTCTTTGCCTGGACATTGTTCTCATGCTGTGCGTCTCGCATGGTTCTCTGGCTCAGTGGAAAGTGAGCGCGTGGCGAGTCTTCTCTAGCTCGCGCGTCATCTTCACGGAGCGCCCAGTAATGTGGCGTCGCCTACCTTCAAGCTCCCCCCCCCCCCCCCCTGAGGCTCAATATCTCCGAGGATGTGCAGTGGTGTGCCGTTTACGTTGTGCTGTGGGAGATTGCCAACTCCCACCTAAACCATGCCAAAGCATTGGGCCACGCACTGGAAAGCGCCGTGCCGATGAAGTGACGTGTCTAAGATTATTGACGTCAGTGATGTTTGTAATGGTTAACTGAAGACTCGTCCAGTATTTGGACACAAACTTGAGTGGAGTGCCGAAACCCACTTAGTGGTGTTGTCTGTCTTTTTTATTCATGCTGATGCAGGGTTTGGTAAGTTCTGGCACCGTGCCAGCGGAGGATTCCTATTTGTCAGGTCACTGACCTACTGTGGCTCAATGCCAACGGGGCAGTAATAATCTCCGATTGGATGGCGTTCGCGGGGGGGGGGGGGGGGGGGGGCAAGCGACGCCAACGTACGGTGTTATGTGATGTGTGATATCCTGGCTTGTGATGCGCGCATTTTATTCACGCGGCATGTTGTATATGCCGCTTTTCTCTCGCGCGCCATGCGTATTGGGCCCGCTGCAGTGATGTCACATCTTGCCGCTTTCGGTCGTACCTGTTTTCGAATTCGCAAACCGCCAGTGCCACTCAGAACATTACTGCGTTATCTGCACGCATTATCATGACGCATTTAATCATATATCACATTCTTGTGCGTTGTGTGCGGCATTAGTGTCGGGTAACTGTCAACCGCATCGCGACAGCCTGATGCTCCGCGCGGAGAGTGCGGCTGTGTCCAAGGGAGGAACCCACAGAGCGGGTATGAGGTGCAAACTATGACTGTCTGTTGCCGGCCGGTGCACCGTTCGCTGGGTCATGTTTCACGATGTGATTAGGGGGAGGGGGGGGGGGGTACATTATCGCATTATCTGACAATGGGCGCGCTGCATTCGGTCGTGTGAAAGCTTGCCTCGAGCGGAAGCGTGGGGGTACGCCTTGCAACCGCCAACTGCACCACGTTTTTAGCAGTGAGGTGCGCTTAGTTGTGCTTCGACATGGCATTTTTAGTTACCATGGGATGGCTTTAAGGCTTGTCCACCTTTGTAGTGCGTTCCAGGTTGGTAGTTGTACCGGGCGATAGCACGGCATTTGGAGACTGATAGAGCAATGAGCTGCTTCCAAGTTTGTTTACTGCAGAACAGCAATAAAGTGCTTCCAAGTTTGTTGACCAGAAGGGAGGTCGATTGGTTCAGTCTGAAATCAACCTGAATCAAATCGATTGTGAACCAGGACGACACATAGCCGGATCGTGATTCGAATTAAGCCCACTTCCAAACAGTGATTTCAAATAGCGCGCAGATCCTAGCGCCCGCCGTTGACTGCGTTTAGGATATGTTTTCAAAAGGGGTTAATCCGCCAAAGCTGCTTCTACTGAAGCGAGTGGAAGAACGTCTGATTTCTTCAAGCAGCTGTTCTTTCTCAGACAAGTTCAGGCGATTAAATCAATGGGCAGATCAAACCACTCTCACAAGTGCAGGCGATTAAATCAATGGGCAGATCAAACCACTCTCACAAGTGCAGGCGATTAAAGCAATGGGCAGATCAGACCACTCACGTCGTCACGTTGTCTCCTGCCATAATGCTATGAACCGTGACAATGCCATTGTTGACAATGATCCCCGTTTACGGGCATTCAATAATCACACATGACACGGTCATAAAAGAACCACTAGGCTCCCTCGCCTTCCGTACGACCAGAGTAAGACCGATGGCAGAGTTGCTACAGCAAAGAGAAAATATATTCCGGTGGAGTAAATCTAGCGAGTGCCTTTAGAGTATGTCACAAGTCTGTATCTACTCAATCCAAGAATCATTCGGTACGCCCAACCCGTCTAAAAATTGACGGCGAGTCTTCGCAACCAATGCAGATACAGGCGCGGAGCCAAGTGCGCGGCAGCCGGAAAAATGCCATCCACAAATCAGAGATTTCGAGGCCGTCCATAGGACTGCCTGCACTGGACCAAGAAACGAAGACGCCAATGTCGTCGTCTCCAAAGCGTTTTCAGATCCAGTACGCTGTGCCGCGGCCTGAACATTTTCAACAGAAACCGACTTATTTTTGGCGCCCTTCAAATGCCAACTGCCCCTCTCGCGACAAAGCGACCGCATACGAGGTATGTGCACGCTTCCCGATAGGCGGGAGATCCTGAGTCGTCCCGGGTTTCGTCATGCACAGCATCATCTCGTGCCAGCAGGTGCTCGCCTCCAAACGCGATTTTGATATGGCGCGGAAATCCCAAACCGCGCGACGAGGGCGCGCCATCGATAACAGGGATCACCGCCGGCGCCATCGAGCCGAATGGCGCCACACATCCGGTCGCCACGTGCGGTGGCGCGCAACAGCACGTGCAGTAGTTTGGCGGCAAAACACGACCCGCGATAAACTCACGATGCTCCGCGCTTAATCAGAGGCTGCGGCGGTTTGCGGCCGTCGGGAGTGAGTAAACAACTCGCTGGCGCCCGTTCCCACCGAAGTGTGGGTGCTGCCGCCACTCCGGCACTCCGCATCGATAAACAGCCCGAACATTTGTTTCAATATTTATTGTACGCTCCAAGCAGATCAAAAGTGGGGCAGACGTCCAACGCGCCGCCCAGGCGAACAAATATCGCATCCCACTTCATTTCGAACGTGAACACAGTTAACTCATCCAGAGAACAGCACCGAAAACCCATACGCACGAACACATGCAAATGCACAAGCCTCGCGTCGCTGAGCAGAGCTGCAGCCCCAACACTGGATTGGCCCAGGCGTGCAGCTGTGTAAACGCCGCGGTGCAACACGCCGTCACTGACCACCAAGGCCACGGCTCGGGTACCCCATCGGCTGCCACTCATTGCAAAACACGTGCGGGCCTCCTGATGGCAGGAAATCGAAGATTCCCTGATGCAAAGAGCGGCTATTCGCTCGGTCAGTTCACAGCTGGGAACGTGGTGCCTCCGCCCCTCCCAACCCAGACGCGATTTTTCCCGGGACCAGCGCGTCATCACTAATGGCCGAAGACGCCTACGCTCTTGAAACAGAGAAGAACAAACGAGGGGCCGACTTGTCCTGGATTCAACTTTGATAACAAGGTTTTGTGCTTCCGGCACAGGCCCGCCTGGCACTGGCCAATCAAGGACAGATTGACAGCACAGGGAAGCCGCTTGGCAGCCCCGTATGACACACATGTGGGCCGGTGCGGCTCTGCTTGCCTACAGGGGCCGGAAACACCACACGCCACGGAAAAATACTTTCACTGAGTTGTGAGTTTACTGTAGTCTATTATTTTAGGGGCACAAGCACATGCTTTTCTTAGCTGCTAATTCAACTGGAAGAAAACAACGATCCTTTCGCACGATTTACGTACATTCCACAGAACAAAGCAAAATCAACCCTGATGCCGCGGTCACACACAAATGTCCATACGCATTCGCCCATTACGTCAAAACGCAGACAGGGAGGTATGCGCACCGTACGGCCCTGGACACGGGGTGTTCCAGTCACTGGGAGTATTGTCACTTGCAAACTGGGCGGGAGCCAGCGATTGTAGCAAAGTGCAGGTGTAAACTGCAATCTTAACTGCCGTCGAATGAGGTCACTCTAGAGGTGCAAAAGTGCTACTCAGGTCACACAAACGCTGTTGGTGGAACAAATGCTGCCCGATGGCTGGCAGCGCCGCCTGGCGGTACACAAACAGTACTGGGCGGCGCCAGCCGACGCAAACAATGACTACTGGTGGATCAAATACTGCTGGATCATGGAGAACACCATTTATCAGTACAGGAATACTGCTGGACAGAGCCAGATGGTGTTAACGAATACTGCTACAGGGTGCAGACAGAAAGACCGGAAAATCCTCTTCGGCAAGAACAATGCCCTTCGTAAAAGTCACAATTCAAAAATCGTACAAACACTTGATTATCTTGTACATATAGATCCCGCTTCTCGTAGAAAGTAGTCGAGCCTAAACGCAGGCAATTCTCAAGAAATAGCTACCTGCCAGTAGGCACCGACTGGTAAATGATCTACGACCTGCAACAAATCAACATAACAAAACGCGTCACTAGTCAGTCAATCCACGACTGACTTGCCTCTCATAAGGCCTGCAAAACTTGACGCAAGTTTTGCAGGCCTTACTCTCATCGCCAAACTTGACGCAGCAAGCTAGCGTCAACCGAGCGCACCAACCAGCGTATTCAGCTAATGGCAGGCGTCATATACAGCGCACACATCACTGTATACGACGCCATCTTGGCGACGTCACGCCTTCGTCAGTCTGACGTCACACCGAGGTCGCAGCCAATCCGAGCCGGAACTGGCCGCCCCAAGATGGCGTCGCATACAGCGTCCCGGATCACCCGCCGACGGGCGCGAGGCACGCCTCTACTGGATGACACAGCAGCACTTGGATGGGTAGTCGGGGAAGTGCACCTTGTTGCCGTTGCCGTAGATGAAGAAGGTGCCCTCCTTGCTGCCGTAGCTGTAGACCACGCAGTTCACCGGGACCGACTCCACACTGTGTCTCTGCAAAGTCAAAACGCACGCTTACCGCTCCGACAATTCGTCCGGGTTTTGAAAGTAAGTCGCCATCTGAACGGTTTACCAACTCAGCACGTGGCGCGCAGCAGTGAACGACCTTTGGCCGGGAGTGCGCCGCCCGACGGCTCGTTAGTGATTGGGCTGTAAGGGCGTGCCAACTGCATTGCTGTCTGCACCCAAGTCTTATTTTTCAGAGAAACTATGGCAAACCCAGGCCAAAGGCGCGTGTTGGTGGACGCCGCGGCTGGGGGCACAACGGGGCACGGCCACCCTGGCAAAACTACCAGCCGGAGACGCAGGGTCCCTAGTCCCTACCCTGACTGCGACAAGAGCGCTTGCGGGAGGCACGGCCAGTCCGGTTCCTGACCACTGGCAGGAAGGGGCGCTTTACAATCCCTCCCAACCAGCCACCGGATTCTCGGACCACTCCCTTCCCCCTCCCCCCCCCCCCCCCGCCACGGAAAGGTCGTGTCTCACGGGTGGGCGGTGGTCGCGTGACTCGACCAACGTTGACGTAAGCGACCACGGGCGGGACTATCCCGCTCGCGTTCGCGGAGCCGCGACGTGGGAAGCTTCTGTGAATGTTTGTGTGAACGACCAGTGCAGCTGCACGCAACCCAGGCCAGCTCAGTCAGCGCCGGCCCAGCCAGCGCCGGCTCGACCAGCGCCGGTCCAGCCAGCGCCGGTCCAGCCAGCGCCGGCTCGGCCAGCGCCGGTCCAGCCAGCGCCGGTCCAGCCAGCGCCGGTCCAGCCAGCGCCGGTCCAGCCTCGCGGCCGTTCCAGCCAGCTACGATGGGGCAGCGGCCACTGCTCGACGTGTGTGACTCCGTAGAGCATTTTTCACCAAACGGCGTGCTTTTGTGTTTAACAAGGCGGTGAGAAGGACACCGCGGTTTTGACTTCGGCAGTGCACTCTATTTGTATCTGCCGCCACTGCTGCACACAAGCTTCGTGCGCCGGCTGAAATCACGCATTTTGAGGACCGAAAACACGATATCCTGTCCATGATCGGCAATGTTAATCATTGGGCACACGGATCACCCCGGGCAAAGGCTACCTACCAAGTTCGTGAGAACCACAGCATGTCGCGGACATCGCGAGAGGCGCTAGCCACGTGATGACATTGGGAGCAGCGTGGGGTGGGCGGAAAAGGACCCCAGCAGCGAATGCAACCGCGAACTCCAAATATCAATCGAAGGCAGCATGGAGCTCTTTGCGCGCTTAATATGCGTGAATAAATCCAGGATGATAGCCGGTGCCACCTTTCCATTTGTTGCATCGTTGTCAATCAGAGCGCCGCCAAACCGTTTTTGTGTTGAGCTTTCACATATTGTATACAATACAGCGGCCACAACATATATATACATTGTGTGTGTGTGTGTATGTGTGTGTGTGTGTGTGTTGTGTGTGTGTGTGTGTGTGTGTGTGTGTGTGTGTGTGTGTGTGTGTGTGTGGTGTGATGTGTGTGTGTGCGTGTGCGTGTGTAGTGTGCGTGTGCGTGTGCGTGTGCGTGGTGCGTGTGCGTGTGCGTGTGCGTGTGCGTGTGCGTGTGCGTGTGGTGTGGTGTGTGTGTGTGTGTGTGTGGTGTGTGTGTGTGTGTGTGTGTGTGTGTGTGTGTGTGTGTGTGTGTGTGTGTGTGTGTGTGTTATATGTGCGTGTGTGTCACTGCGGCTTTACGACGCACTCAGCTGCTGAGGCTACATGGCGTCGCCTGCTTCTCACCCTGGCAGGAAGGGCGGGCACCGCGGGGAATCGAACCCCGTACCTCTGGTTTCCCAGACTCGCAGTGGTTAACGCAGATGCGTTAACCACTACGCCACCGGCACCCCTAAATGTGATGTATATATATATATATATATATATATATATATATATATATATATATATATATATATGGACCATTATCCTCCGATTTACGTCAGTTTCCTTGCAAAGCCTCACCTGCCTGAAGATCCTCTCGTCTTGCCACTGGGTCTGGTGCTTCTTGATGAGCTCCACCGACCCGGCGCTGATCTGCTCGTCGGGAAACCCGAGCAAGGGGTACACCCTGACGTCCTCGCCGCGGAACACTTCGTCACCAACCGCTGTCTTGATGAAGTCGTCCGGCAAGTCGGTGCGCTCCACCACCTTCATGTCCTTGTGACACGCCCTGGAGGCGAGGCGCGGCGCTGTGGGCCCGATGTGGCATGCGCGCGCGCGACGGGGGGGGGGGGGGACGGGGGCGCCGGTAGTGTAGTGGTTAATGCATCTGCGCGTCTGGTAAACCAGAGGTACAGAGTTCGATTCCCCGCGAAGCCCGCCCTTCCTGCCAGGGTGAGAGGCAGGCGACGCCATATAGCCTCAGCAGCTGAGTGCGTCGTAAAGCCCCATTGACATGGGGGGGGGGGGGGGGCGGCGACGAAGGTCCGATGCAGCACTGGGGGTCAGCTCTTTCGACGGACGTCCATGGTGAAACCCAATGCTTATGTAACACCCAACATATCCTACGATGCAGTGAACCCATTCAATAACGTGCATTCGTCATCAGCCTCATCATTCACACACGACCGTGATCTTTAGCCTACATTTGATGATGACGATTTAGGCACTGGGGCGCACCGACCACGTTGGTCATATGGCGTCCATTTAGCCTACATTTAGTGTGGAATGGTGAGCATCGCAACTCACCAATACCTGGCGAGCACACTCATCACCAGAGAGCGCAACTTACCACGGCTTGTGCTAGCAGTGCCGACTGGGCACATTACAACGCTGCAGGACGTGGGACGCTCGGTCCCAACTCCCCCTTACCCTCCTCTCTCTTCCCCCAGTGAGCACAACCCAAGCTCATCCCCCACCAGCGAGCGCCCAGCCCAACACACCACCACCCTGTGAGCACCAAACACAACTTACCACCACTCAGTAAGCACTCGACCCAACTCACCCCAACCAGTACGTAACTGACCCAACTCGCCTCCAAATGATGAGCACCTGACCCAACTCACCACCAACCGGCAAGTACCTCATCCAACTCACCCCCAACCGGTGAGCACCTGACCCACCTCAACCCCACCCAGTGAGCAGCGCCACCCCCAACTCACCATACGACTGTCATCTGCACGAAGCACCTGATGTTGCCGGTGGCCTGGCAGGTGGGACAGTCGACCATCCCCTTGCCGTGGCAGCACAGGCAGCGTCGAGAGCGCGTGCCGTGGCAGAAGCTGCAGTTGCCGCCATGATGAGAGCTGTGCCCGCGGCAGGACGTGCAGCGCGTCTGCAGGACGCCGGAGCGTTATGGCGAGCCGCGGCGCGCGAGCCCCTTCCCCCCCCCCCCACACCCCTCATCTTCCGCTCCACATTTGATACAATTAAGCCGCAGTGCGGTGGCGCTGCGTGGAGCGAAACAGATCGAGATGTGCCTTTGATCCGGCCTCCTCCGAATCATGGACAAGGTCCCCAGCTTGTGCTATGGAGTCGCGACGTGATGGTGGAGATCAAGGTGCTCTGTGCAGGGCCATGCTGCGTGGGAACATGCTGTGTATGTGAGCGCGCTGTGTGCATGAACATGTTGTGTATGCAAGTGTGTTTTGCATGTGAACATGTGCGTGTGAGCATGCTGTACATTTGAGCATGCTATGTATGTGGGCGTGCTATGCATGCAAACATGCTGTGTAGGAGCGTGCTGTACAGGTGTACGGGCTGTGTATGTGAGCGTGCTGTGTGTATGAACATGTTATGTACACAAGTGTGTTGTGCATGTGAACATGTACGTGTGAGCATTCTACACATTTGAGCATGCTGTGCATGTGGGCGTGCTGTGCATGTAAACATGGTGTGAATGTGAGCGCGTCGTGCAGGCCAACATGCTGTGTATGAACATGCTGTACAGGTGAACGGACTGTGCGTGTGAACGCGCTTTTGTGGATGTGAACGCGCTGTACATCTGAGTGCGCTATGAGTGCCAAGGGCGACGTGAAAAGGGGACTGGACGGCAGCAGAGCGTGGCTGATGTCCGCGCCCCAGTACGGCAGCAAGCGCCGTCGGTGCAAGGCTCTGAGGGAAACCCCCAGGCCTGGGAACAGCCGGACCACAAACCGACACAACAATAGGATATACGATAACATACGGATAACGGGCTAAACAAAACAGACGGTGGAGAGGCCGGACGGAACGGCTCGTAGGTCACGACGCGGGTGCAACGTTGGACAGAGCAGGCCGCGTCATCGACACAGGATGATGATCTGGAGTTTTCAGGGCGCGCCGGCGGCAAATGGTCGTACAGCGCGCACCGCGAACTGCTCGGCTCGTCCGCCCGCTGCCTGACTTTGCACACTGCACACAGAAACACAGTGCACGCATACATACACGCACGCGCACGCGCTCGTGTACACACACACGGTGGCGAACGCAGACGCGTTAACCACCGCACCATCGGCACCCCCAGGCGCGTCTAATGAAAACCCACGTGCGGATTTCCCGGTCCCTCCACACAGACACCGAACACACGTTGACCTCCAAACAACGCCGCACCAACCCCACGCACGCGGCAGCCCAGCAGCGGCAGCCTGCGCTCGCGGGCGACCCATGCCGCCCCGTCCGCAGAGCCGCCGCGCGCGCCGCCCGGCCCGCGCCGCCGCCACACTCACGTAGCCGCGGCCTCGACAGCGGGTGCAGCGGACGTCTCGCTCGCCCTTGCAGTCGTGGCAGCCGCGCACCGACTGCGTGTTGGGGATCTCCAACGTCGACTGCAGCTTCTGCGGGCCGGGGGACGGACGCGCCGTCAGTGGCGGCGCACTGGGGGGGGGGGGGGGGGGGGGGGGCAGAGTCGCAGTGCGCTTTCTGACCACGCTGATCACTAACGCCATGGGGCATGCAGGTGCTTTGCTTACTGGTGTCTACTTATACGCCCCCACCGGCGTGGCGATGCGTGATGCTGATTAAAGGAGTGAACTGAAAGAGAACCGGTGGTTTGTCTTAAACACATCAGGAAGCCGTAGATCCTGTCCCCTTCTCCCACAATGGTCATACGCTGGGGGATATTGAGGTCGCTATGCCGCTCCTTTCTACTCGTCGCCACACGTCCGGTGTTGACCTCGGCAATGGTCGCGGTGAGCGGTTGCCTCTGCCGCCCTCCCGTCACCCGGTGTCAGGGTGCACGCCGCACAGCCACAAGGCGACTCCTCCGCCGCGGAGGTGCCCTGGCCTGTAAAGACGCAGCGAATACCCACCCGCCTCCCTACCCAGCGACGCAGGCGCCGCACGACCCACTGCCCACTGCTCCCACGGCCCACTTCGGGTCATACCAGGGTTGCGTCACATTCACCCACAGCACCCCTATCCTACTGAGCCCACTTCCCACGGAGGCCACTACCCACCGAGCTCACTACCCACTGAACCCACTACCCAATGACAGCAAACTCCGCAAAGCCGCCGGCAAACACACCACAGGACCGGGCACGGCGCCCGTTGGCTGAGGGGCCCGACGTGCCGCGCTTGCGGCGGGTTGATTATCGACTACCGGAGTGTTTATCCGCGATAAAATCGGACTTCGTCCGCCGCGCTGATGGCACATGAGTCTAAAAATAGTCCACGATCAGACTGGGCGCCACACTCCCGTTGGACATCTGCCAATGAAGGGTTAACTCTGTCCCACAGCTTCACATCTAACAAGATGTCACCTAATCCACCGGCTGTCCCACGGATGCATCCATCGGCTGTCCCACGGACGCGTCCATCGGCTGTCCCACGGATGTATCCATCGGCTGTCCCATGGACGCGTCCACCGGCTGTCCCACGGACCCACCACCGTCTGTCCCACGGACACAACTACCACCTGCCCCACGGACACAACTACCACCTGCCCCACGGACGCGTCCATCGGCTGTTCCACGGACGCATCCACCACCTACCCCACGGGCGCATCCACCGTCTGTCCCACGGAAACATCCACCGTCTGTCCCATGGACGCATTCACCGTCTGTCTAAAGGCCATATCCACCATCCGTTCCACCGACCCGCTACCGGCGGTCCCACCGACCCACCACCGGCACGACAGATCACTACCGAAACTGCCCCACCAATCCGTCCAGCCCGCCACACTCCGGATCAACTACCACAAAATGGCCGTCCCCCTGAAACGCTGCCCCACCGACCCTCCGACCCACCTGGAACCACTGGTGGGGCTCCAGTGTGACCATCACGTCCCAAGGTCCGGGCGGCGGCCCAGTGACCGGCGGCACCGGCTCTCCACGCCACGGCAGAAACTCCCACTTCGTGATGCGCTTCTCCGTCATCGTGTCCAGCGAGTACTGCCGGCAGGTGGCGCGCCGAGGTCACGGCAGGTCACGCCAAGGTCACGCCACGCTCACGGCGAGATGGCAGCAAGGTCATGCGATGTCCGTGAGGCGGAAGCGAGATGCGGATGTTGCGAACTGCGTGGGAGAAGCGTAACGCGCTGATATCACAATATGTAATTAAGTATGACACGCAACACAGTGATATTATGGTGTATATTACCGTGTTTATAACGCGGTAACCCACATCCTGTAAGTGACATATGAATGGAACGGAAGTTACATCTATACGTGCAGTAGGTGCACAAACCATGACAGATAATAACCTTGCGCCAACCACGTTCAATCGTGTTGAATGACGTCAGTTGCTTCACACTTACACAGGATCGACGCAGCAACACCCAACATTCAGTGACAGGAAACGAGGGCAATAAGACCGTCGACACACAGCGCGTGCGTCACCAACTGCGACGAAATGTTCTGCTCGCGAAGCGCGTTTATCGGCTACCCCTTACACCAAGCGGGATTTTTTAACGCGACGGGAGTCCGCCAGCATATCTTACCATAGCTTATCACCATGAATGATCAGTTCAGTTCAGACCAGCTCCTCCATCCCCCGCCCCCCCCCCCCCCCCACCTGTACCGCCTCGAAACCACGGAGAAAAAAAGCCTCGAGGACACAGCCGCACCAAACCTCAGCACCTCGTCCGACCTCCCATCTACCTTCCAGGTCGGCACTGGCCTCAGCATCCCGCCCACCTCTCAGCTACCTTCGAGGCCGGCACTGGCCTCAGCACCCTGTCCGACCTCCCAGCTACCTTCAGGGCCGGCACTGGAGTCACGCTGACGATCTTCATGTCCGTAACGGGTCCTTTGGAGTAGCAGCAGTGCTCCGAGACGAAGGCGGCCAGGTGTTCGCGAACCTCCGCCTGCGTCGGCACGTGATGCTGTACCGCCACGCGGCCGTGGTCAGCCGGCGGCGGCGGCATGGCGGCCGGCGGCGGCGGCGGCCGCGCGCCGCCTGAGGGGCACGGGTCAGGGGTCAGAGCCGCGCGTCAAGGTCGGCGTGAAGGTCACGGCAAAGTCGCAGGGCACGGCTGTCGAACTTGGTTGAGTGCAGGCGACGACTTTGCGCTTTATTTAGCCGGAAGCTTTCCATTAACGGTGTAGTGAACAAGTACTCACTTCTCCAAGCAACTGTCTAGTTTACACATTGACGTTCTCATGGCGACCGTTAATGTACCGGGAAGCTATCGTGCCTCAGCAGCTCCTCCATTTGACCACGTTCGGCAACGGCCTTTCCCCGTTGGCCACAACCGGAGCTTAAGAAGAGTGACTTGGAATGATTCTTACGAATCTAAAAGCTCAACACCAGCCCAGCCACCTCGCTTACAGCACATGTGAGTTCTTTAATGGTAATGATAGAGACGTGCATACTTTTATTAATAATAAAGATATGCATGTACCACGGAGTCATGCACTTTAAATCACGAACTTAATAATTGACATACGTCTACAAGCACATAGCACAGCCTCAGCACCTAAAAGCCTCGCCAACGCGCCACCCACATCGCGGCTCTGCTTACCGCCCTCGAAGCTGAGGCCATCATACCCAGGCAGCTTTGCCATCGAGTCCAGGGGCGGCGTCGTGGGCGTGCGGTCCGCGCCCTCCGCCTCCAACTCTTCCCCCGGCTTGGGTGACGGCGGCGCCGCCAGTCCGGCGACCTGCCGCGCCGACTCTGGCTTCTCCAGCGGCGGGGCCGAAGCCGAAGCCGCCCAGCCCGGCTGAGGCGGGCCTTGAGAGTACTGTGGCGGGTTCTCCGCGTACATGGGCGGTTGCTGGGGGTACTGCTGAGGAGCGTACCCGCCGTACTGGGCCAGCGGGTACTGACCCGCCGGTGGGTACTGTCCCTGCGGTGGGTACTGACCCGCCGGTGGGTACTGACCCGCCGGTGGGTACTGTCCCTGCAGTGGGTACTGACCCGGAGAGACGTTGTAGAGCCCGTAGCCCCCCGGGGGAGGATGTACATTTGCGAAGTCCTGAGGGTTCATCGTCGCGATTGGGCTTCAAATGGCGACACCGCCACTGGGACCACCGTCGTTGGATGCTGAGAGCTGAGCGTAGAGCTGGGACGGGCGGGTCCGGTGGCGGTTAGGCAGCTTGACTTGACCTGACCTGACCTGACCTGACCTGACTAGCTGCGCAGGCTTCAGGCGAGCCGGCTTTGCACCGCGGAGACGGGACACGGTGCAAAGACTGCGCCTTGGATGACAAGTGACCGTGGCCGACGCCAGATGACGGAGGCCAGATGACAGATGACAGGGGTCAGATGACAGAGGTCAGATGACAGGGGTCAGATGACAGAGGTCAGGTGGCACATGTCAGATGACAGGTCCTACAGATGATAGATGGTGGATGATGACAGATGACAGATGACTTTAAATGTCAAGCCAAATGCTGGATGTCAGTGACAAACTGGGGTGATGGGCGGGATGGCCGATTGCTGCCGGTTGTCGGACGAAGCACCCCACTGTCTGCCACTGCAGTCGGGCATGCTATACCTAGGTCCAAGACTTGTTCTACACTCTATGCTCCAGACTTGTTCTACACTCTATGCTCCAGGTGCTCTATCCCCCTGCAACAGAACGATGCTTGTGAATGCCTGACTTGGATGCAGCCATGCATGAAGTGTGGATGTTAGGGATGTCATAAGTTACCTGCCTTCAGTATGCACCTGCTTTGCTAGTGGAGATTCCAAGCTTGTTCTTTATTGAGATAGGAGGCACATTCACAACTTTGAGTAAGCCCATTTTACCTGTGATGCAACTGCCTTTCATACTGCCAACATCTCTCTCAAAGAACATTCCTCACTTGAGGGAGAAGTGAAGCATAGAGAGGCTAAATCATGGCTGGTTTTGATTGCAATGCCTAGTGTGTCTAACACATGTTGACAGATCTTTCCCTAAAGTTGTCATTGCTTACCAATGAGCCCACAAACAACATTAACTGGAGCTGCTTTGCTTTGTTCTTGACTCACTAAATCCAGCCTTAGATTGAGGCAGCATGGCAGTGCACAAGGAAGCCCACATCACCTGGTGAAAGCAATGCATGTGCTTAAGATGCTTAAATATTTCAGTTATCCTTATTGGTTCACATAGCAACAAGCTTGTGGATAACAGCCCTCTAGCTCCTCTCTACCTGCATCTGGTTACCACATAGGAAGCAACTGCCCATTACCCAAACTGCCCAAACTCACATATTTTGTGAGGCTGCCGTGCATTTGAGGCTGATCTGACTAGTAAGGTAGTGGTAGTACAGCCCCCACAATCAGGTATCATTCATGGATACTGCACTGGTTGGATCTGATGGAATATGTTTATGTGCAGGAACTATAACATTATGGAATGGGGGCATTGGAGACTGAGCCCCAAAAGCATATGGGAAAATTTAGCACCAGTTCTATGGCAGTGTGTGCAAAGAAATGACTTAGGGCATTTTTGACCTTCCTCAATTCTGGGCAAACTCCCCCAGCTTCCTTGCATTATGTGTATTCTGTCACCCTAAATTCAGAAAGATAAATTTGAGCAAATCTTAGCTCCAGTGACAGACATAGCAGATATCTTGAACATACTGGTTCTGTGCTGATTGTGATTCATATGCTAGATTGCTGATTATTTTCATTCAAATTCCATATTTCAAATGCTAAGTGATGCACCAGTTATTGCTACCCATTGACATGTTCTAAGGATCATTCATGGATTCATTTTCAAGCAAATACATGTTTGCAGGGTCTGTGCATACCCCACGCAAAAACCCAACTCATGATTGGTTTTCAACAACACCTGACATATTCCCCCAGACCTATACGTATCGGGCCCACCAAACCATTCCGCACATATACCTCAAATCACATTGTTTGCACAAACCCACCGCCGTCCGGCGCCAGACTCCAACGCACCTCCACACCCGCCGCCTCAACACACTTACGCTTGCTCGCTTGCTCCCGCTCGCCTCTGGTCACGTTAGTCGGCGCTGCCTGGGCCCGCACGGCCCCTGTTGCAAGCGCATCTGGGCTACCGGCGGCTATCGGGGACTATCAGATCCAAGGCCCTTTAATAACATTGAGCACTACCTCACACCCGCGGCCTTGACAGGAGCAGACGCGCTCGCCATATAGCCGCCGACTCGATCTCGTCTGGTGCCTATCACGAGCGCACCCAGGTACATCACAAGGGGTCATTTTCCTCAAAATGCTTGAAGCTTTTGTTATCGCTTTTGTTAAAACTCTTCGTAACGTAGTGGACCTAACTTCATCGTAATCCTGATCGAATGCCAGACAGTGCGCGCTGTATACGCCATTGTATCTAACCTTGGAGGCTAGAGGCGCAGAATTAAACTACAAACGAGACCGGCGGGTCAGGAGTAAAAAAAACTCAGGAATCTTTTCGATGTCCGATGCTATTTTTCAAGTTTGGGTCAAGGGCTGGGCTGAACTACCTTCAAAATACACCCAATAACTGTTTTTACCAAGATTTCATGCATTTTCCTCTTTAAGTTGGGGGTTGGGGTGGAGGTGGACTGAAGCTTCCTTCCAACTACATAACAAACCGCATCCGTGCATAAGGCTGTTAACTTTGCGACAATCCGGACTAATTGCGCTTTGCTTTTCGGCTTTTTATGCGACGAGAGCATATCCCATGTATATCGACATTTTTACACCTCAAGCAGCAGCTAGCAGAAGCATAGCTGCATTTTCATACCAGGCTGCACCTCAGATGCCAACATGACCTTTCCAGTTTGTTTTTGTCACTGTCCGATGTTAGAGACATGGTCAGACCCATGGTGAGGCGAGACCCTCAGCAATCCCTGCGTGTGAAGACACATGCACATGTAGACAATTAAAATCGTGGGTAAGGCCATGAGCGAACTAGAGCGTCTCAGAAATTGGTGACGCATTTTCATGATCAAATCCGACATGCGGGTAAGACGATGCTGCGCAGGTAAGACGATTCCGAAAGCCGCATCATTTGCGGGGCAGGATGTGCAGTTACACGTCTGGGAAATCAGGGGTGGGGGCGCGATTCCCCGCGGTACTCGCCCTTCCTGCTGGGGTGAGAGACGGGCGGCGCCCAGATAGCCCTAGCGGATGGTCACGTCATAGAGCCCTGGACGTAGGTCACGCATCGCCGCGCGCAGCGGGTGTTGTGGTTGATTGGAACAGGCTTGGTTGAGATAGTAACTAGGCTGTCCAAGGTAGGGCATGGGTGCAGAGCATTGGCAACTTGGGGATGTTAAGTCCGAAAAGTATTTGGTAATGACACAGGTATTGGGGATGCATTTTGGTCAGGGTATACAGTAGTACCTCATGTTAAGGAAGAGCATTGTACATCAATTGTCGTTTTCAAGCAGAACATATCGTAATTAATCGTCAAACAGGTCATCTAAGCTCTCACCTTGGAACTTAAGTGACTGCGGTAGCGAACATCCGAGCGCAAAAACGCAGCAACCACGACCCCGGCGCCATTTCTACGTATGATCTCAATATTACTGTGTGATCACAACATTACTGCACGTGAAGAACTATAAAAATGTACTTGGCCAGGGTAACAAGAATTCAACAAAATGTGTTTCTTGCGTATCCAAGCAGTCTTCCGTATTGTTTGTAGATTGGTCAATATGGTGGGGAAATATGACGTTTCTATGTGGGAACGAAAAGCAAAATGAGAATATGGCAGCTAAACAAAACTTCTTAATATGGTACATATATATGGCATGGGACATGGATGCCAATGAGACACTGGGCTGAAGGGATAGGGTGGGGATTGGTTAGGTTAGGTTAGGTTAGGTTAGGTTAGGTTAGGTTAGGTTAGGTTAGGTTAGGTTAGGTTAGGTTAGGTTAGGTTAGGTTAGGTTAGGTTAGGTTAGGTTAGGTTAGGTTAGGTTAGGTTAGGTTAGGTTAGGTTAGGTTAGGTCAGGTCAGGTCAGGTTAGGCTAGTTTAGTTTAGGCTATGTTCTGGACTATTCTGGCCTGTCCATTTCATAAATGCACCTAGATGCAATGAGAAATGTTTTTCATTGCATTATTATTATTACCTTGGTCCCCTACATTTTTGTGGTTATTGATAAGCAGAACTATTGTAATTACTCAACAACAACACAGAAATGGCGCAGAGAGTGGGGCAGGGGGTGCGTGCAGCGCTCGGGAGCTTGCTATTGTAAATATTAAAATTTGAAGGTAGGAGCATGAATCTACCTGTTTTAAGCTTATTTACTATATGTTCCGCCTTAAACACCACAAATGCTGTACACTGATTTTTTCTAACGTTAGGTGGCAATGTATACCTACACCTGCATTTTGGTGCATTCTGATTGCCATTGTTGTAAGCAGCTACAGTTTATGGTTCAGTAGGTACAAAATCAGGAACTCGTGTAAAACCTGACCAAAGTCTTGAAGCACTGTCTCGGTAACCACAGATGACTTACAAGACGCTATGAACTGTGTACAACTTGCTGTGCTGTATGGGCCCATAGTGATCTAGCATCTTTGTTGTCAAACTTGTTTGTTAATAGTGAGGGTTGGATATTTGGTAGCCATCTGCCACTTTCTTGTCTTTTATAGCCATCCCCACTTACAATCATTGCAGCATTTTATGTGCAATGGTCTTCCTTCTAAGCTGGACAGCTTTTATTATAAATAGACATTGTGCTGCATCTTGTGTACTGACACAATCCCTCAGATCCTGACCTCATGCCATCACACCTTGTGAAGCTCCATATATTAGAAAAGCACAATATGGGAATGTTAAGATGAAATTGACCAGCTGTAGATGTCCATCTGCTACCAGAGATAGTTCCTGGCATTGTTACTGTGCATATATTAACAGACATGTATTATGTAGGAAGAAAATGAAAAAAAGTTTGTTAGATAAATATCAGATGTGTTTCTTTTCACACTTGGTAGATTATGACACGTGTTCTAAATTAGGAGCAGCCCTTGACATTACACCATTACATTGTCACTTTATGTATCAGTCATTGAGTAAACGCTTATGAGGGCGTTGTGGTAGAAACGGCCCAATGTTGTCAATTCATGGCCTTTAAAATGCCATCCCACAAAACCCTGAAGCTTTGAACAGCATCATGTGGCTGTGTTGAGCAACCAAAATGGCAGTGGTAGTCAACACAGCCCTTACTCCCCTTAATAATCGTGGTCATGTGCACACATCCTGCACATCGTTGGCCATGCCAATGGATATGTAGTGTGTCAACATGATGGCATGTAACCACAACTAGTAACGAGCAGCTGGTGGTTTCAGCTTTCCCCCAGCTGGATCAGTCATGTCCCTCACGGACGAAGAGATCAAGGCGGCATGTGCTGAGCCGGACGCCTCGACCAAGGACTTCATCATGCAGCAGACCATGTACCGCATCAAGGACCCCAAGGTCTCCCTCGACTTCTACACGCGCGTGCTGGGCATGCGGCTGCTGAAGAAGCTCGACTTCCCGGCCGCCAAGTTTTCGCTGTACTTCGTCGGCTACGAGCCAGCGGAGGACATCCCAGCGGACGAAGTCGAGCGCACGCGCTGGTGCTTCACGCGTCGGGGCACGGTCGAACTCACCCACAACTGGGGCACCGAGTCGGACCCGGCCTTCGCCGGCTACCACAACGGCAACGCCGAGCCCAAGGGCTTCGGCCACATCGGCCTGGAGGTGCCGGACGTGGAGGCGGCCTGCGAGCGTTTCGACAAGCTGGGCGTCAGCTTCGTGAAGAAGCCGAACGAGGGCAGGATGAAGGGGCTGGCCTTCATCAAGGACCCGGACGGCTACTGGATAGAGATCCTCAGCGCCAATAACATGAAGGGGATGTAGGGCACAGGGAACTGGCTGTCGGCGGATGAAGGCTGCGGTGATCATGCTTGTTTTGGCTTGTGAATGTTCTTTAGGTAATGTTGAAGAAAGACCAGCCCCCGTATTTTAGATGGAGCAAATACGTACTATCGTGCAAGGGGATCTTGCAGATTTTGCGAAGAAGTCTTGCGGCTGCTATCGTTATTTTGTATCTCACATGAGCTAAACGTATTACGGCTGTCTGCAGGGTCATTACGCAAATGTCATGAGTTATAAATATACGTGAATGCTCAACTATTCATTTTCCTTCACACAAATGGTCACATCGCAGACGTTGATAGCATATGTCGACATTTTTCAGTTACATGCACGCAATGCACAATAATGACTACCGCGGGACGGAATTGCGTCGAACGTTTTACGGCGTTTCCCTGTTGCACTGCATGAAGGCAAAGTGCTTGATGCCGACAGAGTGGCGAAACCCCTCCTTCCTCCTGTCGCGGGTCCCATACGCTTGCGGGACCAGCGTGGCAAGCACCAGCTTTACGAGCAGCTTTGCATTTATCTAAGCAATGCATCTCCCGAGTTCCAGTGCACTTGCGGGTTGCGCATGCTCCGTCGTTATCGGGGCTTTACGACGCAACCTGCCACTGAGGCTACGCGGCGTCGCCCGCCTCTCACCCTAGCAGGAAGGGCGGACACAGCAGGAAACGGAACCCCGTATCTCTGATTTCCCAGACGCGTTGACCGCAGCACTATCGGGACACCTCTCGCGCGGACTTCGTGTCATTCACGGAGAAAGAAAGAATTGGTCGGGCAACGGTTCGGTTTCGATTTTGCCCGTTCTGGTCCACGTTGGGGCAACTCGATGGTCACCGTCTCAGACTGGATTTAGTGGGACCTAGTTGTTTGTAGTCCGACTAGGTTTGCTGCGTAACACCAGGGCGGAGCGGTGCACGAACATGCAGCGACTGCAGCGCCCCTGGCGGTCAACAGATGGCGCAGTCGAAGCCTGCCTCGGCCCGGAGTCAACTACGGAACGAGCACATTGCGTTGTGGCGGCCTGCACACCGGCTCTGGAGGTCCTCCACCAGGGGAAATCTAACCACACTTCACACATCATCACACCACATCTGCATGACATCGGGGGCCATGACCGGCAAAATGACTGCTTAAAGAACAGCGCATCTGTGTAGGTTTTATAACTGTTGTAGGTGCGTTCAACTCTCAGCACGAAACCTCGTAGTTGGTGCAATGCTAAAAATATACCTCTTGTCGAGAAGCCAAACGCTTCGTAGCACTTGAGCGTTCCTTGGCTGTGAAAACGATGATGAAAGTTTAGTTTAACCGCCTGAATTTTAACTCGGCATTGGCCCGGTTCCTCAGCAGCGCACCATTGACCCGAGGAGGCAAGTTCGACCATGGGTTATCTCAAGAAGGCCGGGCCAAATTAAGAAATTCGTATTGCAATTGATAGCGTCGTGGCGTGCGGTCTCAGATGACACAACAAACTTAAGGTTAAGAGCCCGTTAAGGGCACAGGTTGAGGTCAAATTCTAAAAATGCTATTTTTGAACATCTGACGGTTCCCACAACGCATTTCATTTGGAAGCGTACCTCATGGTGTGAAGTAATTGCGCGCTGATCAAACATGCTATATAGGAAGGTATCCAACGTCACACACGCCGTACCAGGCCTAGAGTGAAGGTCATGTGCCACCCAAATGATAACTGAAGCCTCGGCCCATGTCTATCTTTGTCTTTTTATTTTAGTCATATTTGAACCGACTACACGCGAAGTGGGAGAGCTTAGCGGCAATTATGGGCATCAATCACGTCAGCAAGAGCTGTTACTTGCTCATAAACCGTCTAAGGTTAAGGTCAAATGGGTGGCCTCTGTTGAATAGATGGTTTGATCGATTTCCACCCTGTTTTCGGTGATTCAGTCCTGCTGACAGCGCAACCTGATACCCTTCAACCCCGCCGCCAGTCGCGTGGTTGTCGGTTTGCGTGCGAAACTGATAAGCAACTTTCGCCGCCCCGTCACCGCGCCGCCGCGGCCCTGGGCTCACCTGGGCACGGGTGACATGCGTTGTAATGCATTTTAAGCCATAACTCAGTCATTGCCTCAGCTAGGTACCTGAAACTTGGTACACGCATCTTTCATAGTCGTATCTGGGAAGTCTTGTTTCATGTTTTCATATTCTTAAATCTAAGACCTTTTCATCGATGTTGTTGCTTTACATGCCATATTTCAATGTAAAATACCGAAGCAACGTTACAACAGGACATATAAATAATTGGCTAATTGGCTCACAATTCCCGTTAACAGACACAAAATGTGCTTTTTCGTTCGGCTTCTGTGTCAATTTATCTGCGGCCATGCACTTTCGTAAAAGGGCAAACGTGACGTCTGACGTCACTCACACCTGATCTATTTTAGTCTTATAATCTTTATTGTGGCACAAGGCATAAAACTCATCCAATTGACAGCTACTGCAAATTTTGCAGCGTTATCTCAAGGCGTTTTTTAATTATCGGAAATGTTGGACAGGGAGGCAAATTTGACCCTCCTCAGTTAATGCTGGGTTAGCCGCCAACTCGCGAGCTTAGCTGCCACAGAAACGCTGGCGCGTCTTGGTCACGAATGGTGAAGGCCTTCCGCGAGTTGATTGGTTGGCTTCTGGGCAATGTTGCCACACTCTTAAATCGGTGAGAGCAGGAAGTGACCTGATAAGGTTCGCATAATGTACTCCGAAAACCAGATTTCTTCTCAGATTTTGGGCACTTTAATTTTCGTCCCCGGTGCAAAATAAGAAAGCGTCTTAAATACCCTACCGGTTCCATTTTTAGCTGCAGAGGACTGACTTCCAGTGTTCAGGTGTTGTGTAGCTGCATTTCTGAAAAGCTTTGATGCCATTTACAGAAAAAACATCTTAGCAATTCGTGCATTCGTCATCAACGAATATAGGTGTCATTCATCGTTCATCGAAGGTGGCCCGAAGCAAGGCACCAAAAAGACGGTTTTATTTAGAATGGCGTTGATGGACACATACGGACGAGAGTCAAAGAAAATAATCGGGTACGCTGGCACGATGTGCTCACATGTAACAGCAAAACGAACCTGCTCCACATTGCAACAGAAGATAACTGGGAGGGCAGAGTAGGTAAAGACTGGTGACTAAATGGGTCTCCAGAGTGACCGTCTTAAGAAATGTCGCGGACAAGCTTTAAAGCATGTTGGAAAAGCATCACGACGGGTGTCGCATCTTGGCTTGGTGATTCTGTGTGATGAGCTGATAATGGCTACACTGGGAATTATCGATCTTTAGTGCATCAGGAGGCATAGGCGGATCATGTGGGGGAGGCAACAGGCCATGCCCCCCCCCAAAAAAAAAACCTCTGAGAGCATGCTTTTGCCCCTCAAAACATTTCCAGAACCTCATAAAAGTTTTGTCTACTTACCGTCTCTTTTAACTTTAACTGTTTTAACTGTTTTGTTTTAACTTCTGTTTAAGATTCCGAAACATTTCGGTGCTTTTTTCGGTTTTGAATGGTGTCCCTACTATGTACTCGCGAGAAGCACCATGCACTGGACCTCGGATCCCACACCAGCCAGCTGGTGACGAACGGTTTCCCCCCCCCCCCCAAAAAAAAACAACAACAACTCCAGGCTAGATCCGCCCCTGTCAGAGGGCGCTGGTTTAGCAACGGGATCAAAAATGCATTGGATATGTTGAAAAAACTCAACGTTTCGACGCTGTACGAATGGTCAGATTTCTTCCCAAAAGTCGATCAACACCGCCTCAGCTCCGCCCCACATGGGAAGCCAACGTAACAAACTAGAATATATTCGAATGCAATTCTTGCAGCCGCTAAGCCGCGCGAAGCCCTTGCAACCGTCCGCAGCGCCTCAGCAACTTCCCTATCGAGGGCACGCTCCCCACGAAGATCACACTACGCTATTTGAGCTCAGAGGTTTGGTGCCGGTAGGTCAGTGATGCTGACAGCGCCGTCTCATGCACTCATTGCTGCACTCGAATACCACCGACATCGAGACCAGTTCGTCCTGGGCGTATTCCAGTCAGTCGTCAGCCATGTCGAGGCACGCGGAATTCGATACGACACTCATCCATTCCAGTCAGTCGTTATCAGCCATGTAAAGGCACGCGGAATGCGATATGACATCCATTCCAGCCAGTCGTCATCAGCCATGTCAAGGCACTCGGAATGCGATATGGCACTCATCCGAAGCATACGGTATTCACACAGCTGCTGTCTTTCAGTTGACCTGACTTTGAGTCCAGTGCGCGTTTAATCCTTCGGCGTCCTCGAAGCCCTCCATTAGTCGACTGGCCCGGAAGACCTCTTCGCCCGACTCAGCGCGGCAGCCTTTCACCTGTCATTTCGTGCGTGCGCGTCGTAACCGAGCACCCAGCACTTGGCCTGAATCACTGTCGAGTCTCGTCCAGAAGCACACGGAAAGGGGAGGTGCGCAAGCATGTGTCTTTCCACTTAGCGAATGAAGTCCCAAGCACCGGGAGAAGACGTGGAACAAAAGGGGTAAAAGAGCATATAATGGCACCGCTTCGTGCGGTGCACTAAAAGGAACATCAAGACCAAGAGCTAGACCCAATGAAAGAAGGCACCATGCTGGTTGATGCGCGAACAAGTGGAAGTTGGAATAAAACAAAGTTTTATGTACGCAAGTCTGATTTTTTTTTAAACTCGAACCCACCTCGCCACGGGTGGGTGCATCGGAAGGCAGGCGCTCTAACCAACTGAACCGCCGGGACGGACAATGATGGAAAAGAGTTTGGCGAAAAAAGTGTATTAGCAAAATTTCAGCGGGATGCGAGGCGAATCGGGAAAAATTTCAACAACAAAGAGCAGATAAAAATCAAAACTGGAATCGGGAAGAGTCAACGGACAAACAGTCGACATGAATACAAGTCAAAATGAAAACAAGTCAAAAGACAAAAAATAAACGGGGCAAAGGCCGACAGGAATTGAAGTCAAGCCAGCCAAGCCGAGAAAAAGGAAAAGTTGGACGATGGCCGGACTTTGCTTCAAAGACAGTGGCATAATTGTGCAGTTCCAATTTCGGGGTAACAGAAGTGATGTATGATAAAGCAACTTTTCTAGCCAAACACAAAATGAACAGAGACACATAGTACAGTTTCAAAAATAGGTTATCTTTGACATGGCTTAGCTGTGCGTCTTCAACACGCGCCCGGGATGCCAGCTAAATACCCTTCGCTCGTATGAGGGTGGGGGGGGGGGGGGGGGGGTAGGGCATT